GGTAGTTCAAAATATGAAAAATAGTTGTGAAATGATGCACTAATTTCGGGACAAGATTGGGCGTGCAAGTTCGTGACTTTTAGGCTTGTTTCGGCTATTTCACGAAATGAGACCGGACTACTTCGTGATATCTTGAGACCACTTCGAGTTTAGTCTTTAATTTACTCGAGGAATAAATAGAGGATATTACGTGGAAACGCAGAGACACGAAATTTCTCTTCTAGTGTTGAAAAACATTTCGAACTGTTTTATGATGAATTTAAAGTTACAAAACGGGCTGCACAAGGACATTTTGTCTTTCTTGAGTAATACGAAGTAAAATTGTTTCATGCGTTGCGTGACATTCTCGAACGTTCTCTACGTTTTTGGGTCGGCATTAGATTCTACCCACCAAAACCACATCGATCGAGAGGGACTGAGATTGACTTTTGGACACCTTGTGACATGTTATACCAACGAAAGATGCCTACGATGTTTTCACGTATTCGCCTCCCGGGGATTCGCCTTTCTTTTGCTTTGGGCTTAATAATATTTGGGAGATCGAGTTCTCGCCAACAAAGGGTGAATATAACGAGTATAACTGTATTTTGGCAAATATTGTACGTGAAGTTTTAAAATATGTTTCAGATTTCATGGGTCTACGTGATACACATCTAGCACCGAACACTGTCGGTGGTTTTGGTGGATGTTGAAGTCTACATCCACCAAAACCACTCAGGGTTTTAATTTTTTTAGGCGCATAGTTACGCTTCTGCAAAGTACTGACGGACTTTTTTAAGACCATACTCATAAAGCATAATAATTATTGACACAAACAAAATTTTAATCATGGTTTTTATATAAGTTGTTATTATTTACACATACAAACTATTTTATTTTCTTATTATTATTTATTATTTTTTAATGTGCACTTGTGAGCAGCACACTTACACTTCCAGTGAACATTTTCACTTGGGAGAAGGAGAAACCATGCTTGCCCGGGGCAACGAAAATTTTCGTGCCCTGGGCGAGAGTCGAACTCGCGACCTTCCAAATCCCATCATCAGTCCCGGGAAACAAACAGGAACATCATGGCGGGAATTTTAAGTTACGAACCCACGTTCGATAGGAAAATTGCTGCGAATTTTGGATATGTTTCTGAAGTTCAAAAGCCAACTGACGATTGCGTTTTTCGCTGCCGTCAATCATCTTAACGGACCTCTTAGGAAACAAGACTTTACTTTAATGGGTTCAAAAGGTCAAGTTTTGTGATTTGTGATTGGTGGATTTCGATCCGTTTTGTGTTTTTCTGTGTTTCAAGGTTCGTTGCTTGTGGTCGTAATTATGATTGACGGCAGCGAAAAACGCAATTGCTAAGGCGGCTTTTGAACTTTAGAGTTCGCATGTTTGTGAAAAGCGCAGTAAAGCTGTATTATGTACATTCATAAGTCTCAGAAATTTAGAATTTTGGAGGTCAATATATGTAGACTGGAATGTTAAAATCCATGCCGGAAAGAAACTTCTTCTTGCAGGGGGTGGGGGGAGTATAAAGCTCGCGGTATTTACACCTAGCTATATATCCTGGTTCCAGAGGTTGTTCCTGATTTTTCTCCGCGTGAGAAAGAACGAGCACTTACCAGCGAGCTTCGCGATTCGTTCTCGCCGCTCGTTGCTCGTTTCCAACATCTTACTAACATCTCAGTCATTATGAAACTGTATCCCCTGATATATTTTCTGCACCCGCACGTGAAATGAACGCAGCCTTTCTCGAGCCTTTCTCTTTCTTTCAGCTCCCAGTACAAAAGTGTAGTACACTCTGCTGGTATAGTAGAATTCCGACTTCACTAACGCTAGAGCCCTAATGGTTCAGTGTTTAGAACGTCCGATCTAGTATTCGGATGTTCGGTTGTTCGTGCATATCATCCGTACATTTTCCGAGAATCTTCGGTTACGACTTTTAAGTTATTCAAAATTTAATCTCAGTCCCTCTCGATCGATGTGGTTTTGGTGGGTAGAATCTAATGCCGATTTGGATTATTCATGAATAATTAATTAGGGCATGTTTACATTTCAGCATGAGTCAGCAGATTTGCATCCGTTACTGAAATCATAAAATATGTCGAAAAGTTACTACTATTCGCCTGTTTAGTGTTTTCTTGAACCTTATGTTAAACAGTATACAAGTTCCAAGCGAGTTCTTTTGACGAACTAAGTTTTTTCCCACGAGCTGGATTGCTGTGTTTAGTCAAGTATGACGAAGGTCGATTTTCAAGTTCTGTGTTTACAAGTTGGGGGAAGCCGCAAGATACCGGATTTTGCGTTTGCCGTGATGGCGGTCGGTCGGGTTTGAACGGCCTTCCGTCCAAAACGGCGCAAAAATGGGTATTACACGAGAAGAGATTAAGAATCTTTTAAAAGAAGCAATAGAACCCTTAGAACGAAAGTTAGACAATCTGAACAACGGGTTTCAGGAGTTAAAACGTTTAGTTGACTTCGTAAATGGAAAATAGGATGATGTACTTGCACAGTTGAAACAAGCTAATGAGAAGATTCAAAGACAGGGAACGAGCCTGAAGCAGATGCGGAAAGACCTAGACGATGCAACAAAGCAGGCTAAAGACGCAATGAATGGCTTTGAAAACCTGGCGGAATATCTAAGGAGAGACTGCCTTGAAATTTCGGGCGTCCCGCCGAGTGAGAGTTACACGTGTAATCAGCTTGTAATGGCGGTTGGGCGAGCTATCGACGTACAAGTGAAGGAGTAAGATATATTGACCTCTCACCCATTGCCAACTTTTAAAGAAGATGCACCACCAAAGATAATAGTCAAGTTCACCAGAAGGGATATGAGGAATAGCTTCTATACGAACCGAAGGAAGCTTATTGACAAGAAAGCTAGTGATCTCCCCGATCTTGGTATCAGTGCCGAAAGCAAAGTATACATATCCGAATCCCTGACAAGGTACAAGAAAGAGCTCTTCGGCGAAGTTAACTAGCTGAGGAAAAAGATCAGATGGAAACATATCTGGACTCAGAACAGCCGAATCTATGTTAAAGAATCAGATAAGTCGACCGTAGTGGTAATTGATTCATACGAAGCCCTGGATAAATTTAAGAGCAACCTTCCCCCACGTTCAAACCAGTCTTGAATTGGAATCACTCCTATAAGATAAGTAGTGTAACCGGTGTATTACTTTTATTATGTTGTTACTCTTTACTAAGTATTTATTACCAAAATTTTCCATAGCTCATAATAGTGCACTATCATAATAACTCCGCTACCGGTATTAGAATAATACCAAATTACTCTTTTCAAGATTTGGAAAATGATGAATTCCTAAAAACCATAGGCTCGTGGGTTTATAACTCGGAAGATCGACTTTCTGGAAAAGTAGACTTAGACAGGGATATAGTTGTTTCACCAGACAAAAATGACCCTTTTAAGTGCGCTAATGATAATTACATTGAATCTCACTATTATTCAGTTAAAAAGTCTGGCAAAATATTTGATGACGCTTGTAAACAAAAAGGGTTTTCGATATTCCACTGTAATATTCGTAGTTTGGGAAAAAACAAATCCTTGTTGCATGATATTCTAAGCACAGTTAAGACAACGCCAGATATCATCGCAATATCTGAGAGTAAAATTAATGAAAATACGAGTGCAAATTTGAATATTCCTGGTTATGCTATTGTGAATACTAACTCAAAATGCAGGCAGGAGGTGTTGGTCTGTATTTATCTAATAACTTGGAATTTTCAAGAAGGAGTGACTTAGATATCTCGGATGATGGAATAGAGTCATGCTGGATAGAGCTGGCACGTACTGCACAAAAAAATATTGTAATAACCCTATGTTCTCTGCGCAAGGTAAACCCTGTAACTTACTCGAGAAATTGAAAAAAAAAAAATCAGCACTTTGTTATCATATTTACCGTTTAAGGCATCTGCAACATGATGAGATTTGCACTTTACACAAAACCAGTCACCTGTCATACGCTACACACAAAAACAGCTTGATGAAATATTCTACGACTTCTACAGGTTGTTGCTCTGAATCAACCTCAAATCAATCGATTATCAATAAAATTTTCTTATGTGTTTGATTTCTAACGTCTGAATATCTGCACCGAATGGGCCAAACTGAAATCGTGACGGCCACTTTGAAATCGTGACCATGTATTCCTATTAAACCGTCGAGCATACTTTTCCGTAACGGTGTTTATTCAGACTAAAGAATAATTTGGATGACTGTTTCAGCTCTTTCAATATGTCCAAACGATTCTCAAAGTGTTTCTTTTATTTAAATGATCGGCGTGAATGCTCTGTTTGTTGGTTAACTGCAAAATTTAACTTCTGCTTTGTCTAGTTTTCCCATAAACGGCGTAGTAACTTAATTCAAAAATTCCTGACTTGTTACAGCCCGAAGAGAGCCATTTTTGACGATGGCGTTCAAATCCATCCGAGCACCTGGTATAACAAACAACAAAAGCCAAAATATAGAAACAAAGAGACAGAAAAAGACGTGAATCGGTTACAGAAACACCATCAACCGTGTACAATGACAACCAGTGACGGATAATAATGATAATTATATCGCTAAGCATAAAATGATTCTTCGTTTCTGATTGGCCCAAATCCCCCCGCTAATATTTCATGACCAGCTAGCGTTGAGCAAACTTGGACTGTGTGCGATATGAGATATCCGGTGAAATTACGTCAAAGGATAGTACAGGATGCTAAAAATGCTGATAATCATTGTGAAAATGTAGAAGGTGCCGTCGGCTAGAACTATTGATTTTTCTCTTTATTTTCTGCATAATTTCGGAGGGTGAATTATTTCGAATAAATAATGTTAATCAATAACTGATTGGATTCGGCTTTCCTATTATCTACAAATTTTGTAGAGGAAGGTGTTACCCTAGAGAAATGATTAAAATGCCTCAGGAAAACAGGAAAAGACAAAAACCTTTCACTGCTTTGGCACCAGTTGCAATGAAACTCAGTGGAGTTTCTCCTCTCAATGCATTCTTCGCATGTCTTGGCGGTGATGCAGTCTAAAAGAAATTTTAGGAATCAAAACAGAGAGGCTTGGCCAAACTCTTGTACAAACCTCTCACAGTTATAATTATCTGATCAGTTTGGTTACCATCAGAGATATAACTTCATAGCTCATCCACATAAGGTAAACATGTTGATCATATAACTTAATCGAAATTTGTCGCTACAATAATGAAGGTTTCCTTGACAGTGAAGTACTGTCACTTTCACTTCCTGTAAGACAGAATTGTGACGTCACGGTCTCAATTTTAGCGCCGGTTCATGGTACTTTAAAGCGCTGAAAAAAACGAAGAACTTACTTGGTTTAGGACGAAGTATCACCACCACGTTATCCACAGCCCAACTTTGGTTGATATGCACTGCATCATAAGTATAAAATGTACGAAATATTTGCCCTGTAGGTCAGCAGATCATTAAATTAATAAAAAATTTGGATAAAGAAATCACACCACTCTCTGCTGAATGAGGGGTTGTATAAGACCAGACCCAGTTCTTCATAAACATAAGAACAAGGTCGTATAAAACATAACAACAAGGACGTCATTCTCGTTGCCAGAAGGCTAATGTGGCTTATAGAAACAGGATTGCAAGTTCAGTATTGTGAGGACATCTCGACTCCAAAAACTCTTACTCTCAAAGTCCAAGTGTAAAACCTTGCTTGTGAAAATGAGTTTTACTCGCTTTGAAACAGAAGCTTGGGACAACTTTGCCTAGTCCCTGTATGGCGTTTTCCCAGGCATTGTCGGTCAATTCACTTCGGTGACGTACCACGTCTTCCCTTGGACAACGTGACTAGAAACGAATTGGCCGCGCAGAATAATGAGGCCTAAGGACTAGGCACAGCTCGGAAAAGGCTCTAGTGAGAATGGGAATGGCTCGATAAGTAGTAACAACATAAGCGCAGCAGATTCTATTTAGGAAAGAGACAGATGCATCTCATTTTGACATTTTGGTGCCAAATGACCCTAAGTTTATAATTCAATACGGCAGGTATCGTACGCACTAAGAGTCTACTCGGTCCATTTCTATTTGTAGACGTTATGTATAAGAAGAGGACTTAATATGCAGAAAGTACTTACAAATGCCATAGTAGTGTCTTAGTGTGCCCACATAGTATGCATCTGAAATACCCATATTTACGGCACGGGAAGCATTTGAAATGTTACGAACCGGAATTGGAATCTACGAGAAACGTTTGGGAGGAGACTTAAACCAGATGTTTCAAAGATCCCTTTGATGTTGTTCAAGTGAGAAAAGCTTTTAAAACAATGCTGAAAATGTGCGTTGTAGGCGGATTGCTTGTTATTTTCCGATCTAGATATTGAAATAGCGCTTCTGAATTTTGAAAGACCTTCATTGAGGTTAGCTCTCTTGGAAAATTTGACTCTGATGTACTCTATATGTTTTTGAGAAAAATATGTCACCTTATTGTGTATTACGTATGTAAGAGACAGAAAATAAACGTTATATGGTGTGGTCTTCGGAGACCGCGCACAAAATATCGCGGGCGCTCTTTCCCACGAAAGCACATGTTTTGTTATGGAGTTATACTGTCGTTTCGTTAGGACAAGTTTTCCTTTCCATTAAGAAGGCACAATAACTTGTAAGTATGCAGTATTTTCGGTTATTCGGTCAATATCATCTTTGTAATAGTCGCGTTGTTGTTATTTCAGCGAATCTTTCTCTTTCACGTGCAATTTGTGAATGGAATGAATACAAGTTATGTGCAGATTAGAAACGAACTAGCAAGTGAACAACCTGGAACAACTGATTAAAGTACAGTTTCAAGTAGCTATGAGTGGACGCTACATCATTCGAAGTTATTGATTTCAAGCAGTACTGTGGTTAAAGGAACGGAATGACTGGCAAGAATTCGAAGAGCAAGAAATCGAAAAGTGGTGCTAAGAAAGGTGGACACGAGCAAGCAGCGACTCACGTGACTCCACAGAAGGAAAATGTTCCCGATTCGGCGCCAACAGAGAAATCGCCTCAGCGCACGTTCCAAGGTGATGAGAATGGTGGATTAGAGCAAGTAGGGCCATCATTAACAAGTGGAAACGTGGAATTTGGTTTCTATGGCGAGGAACCGGTAGAACAAGGCAGTAGTTCCAGGCCTGTTAGATTAAGGGAGCCGAACAAAAGAATAGATGAATTGGAAGTTCGAGTCGAGAAAGCGGTTCATGCGAAGCGTCAGCGAAACTGGTATCTTGGAGAACTGCGGAAACGGCGAAATTGTGTACAAGAATTGATTTTAAGCCCTAGCACCCAGATAAGTGGAGTGGAAGCCGAGATTTACAGGTATTAAGAAGCATTTCGTAACTTTGTTGTCAGTCATGATAATTACTTCAGCTTTGAAGATGATGAAGAGAAAAAACAATTTATTATTGACAGTTATCAGAATGAACGAGAAATGAAATTACAGTTAGAAATCCTCACAAATCAGTGGAGGAAAAAGGGAGTAGGTACCCCTCCTTCTGAATCTGGATTAAGCCATGGGTCTGACAAGAGCGAGAGAAGTTGTGTGTCAAATAGAAGCAGTGTTAAAGAGAAGAGAAGGGTAGCAGTAGAAGCTAAATTGGAAGTGCAGACCCTAAAGGAAAATCAGGAACTAGAACGCAAATTAGAAGAAGTAGAAAGAAGTAAAGCAGAGTTAAACAGGAAATTAGAGCTGTTGAGTGCTAAAACTAAGATGGAGCAGGCGGAAATTGACTTATTGCTGGAGCGCGGCGAAGAGAATGATGCGAAGGATGGGATGAATGATTACTTAAAAGAGCATAGTACCAATTATCCTCCTGCGAAGGGGCATTTGTCACAGCCTGTTACGGGTGGTGCCACACCCTCTTCAGAATCCCAGCCAGTTGTTGATAATGGAAAAATGCAAACATCTTCAGCACAAGATATTGCCCAAACTTCACTTTCATCATTGGTGACTGCGAGTTACGTAACATCAGGGTCAGCGGTCACGACTTCTGGTCCAAACGTAGGAAGAGTTGCAATTCACAAGACGAGTTCTAGTAGTTTAACTACCCAAGCTCCAATTAATTGTACTAAGTTCAGCACGCCTATCAGTCATGTACCTCGTTTTAATTTGCCAAGGGCAACATCCACAGCTGTTGCGGCATCACCAATGTCGATGCACCAATCACCAGGAATGCCTACATGGTCTTGTAGTCCACGAACTGTAGGTTCAGATGCATCAGCAACCGAGTTCTATCCTGCCAACACTCCTCAGCAATCCACATCAACGTACATTTATTCAGCCCCTCCTTTTGAGCAGCGAGCTAGTCCGCAGTCACGCATGCAACCTGATCCTTGGGTGGCAGTTGCCGAAGCAATCAAGCAAGGGCCATCCTTACCGAAAGTAGAGTTGATGAAATTCAGTGGAGACCCTTTGGAGTATGTGGAGTTCGTTACGAACTTTAGAGACAATATTGAGAACCAGGTGTCTGATGAGTCTCAAAGACTGACACGCCTTTTAGCTCAGTGCTCAGGCAAAGCTAAAGAAGCAATTAGGAGTTGTGTTAATTTGACAGTGGGTGAAAGGTACACAGAAGCCTGGAGAACTCTTAGCGAGAACTTTGGCCAGCCTCACATGATAGTAGAAGCCCACATGAAGAAACTGAGAGACATTCAAGTGCGGAAAGCAGATGCGACGACTCTCGTGGAGTTTGTAAGGCGACTGGAAGATGCTAGGAGGGTCCTGACCAGTATGGGTCACAACTACGTGAGTCGGTTAGACAACGAAGATGTCATAATCTCGTTGATGCGAAAGCTCCCTGATGAGGGCCTGAAAAGGAAGTGGGTGGATGAAGCAGGAGATCTCATCAAGCGAAAAGGTCGAGCGGACGTTGCGGACTTTGTTGAATTTGTTCGAAGAGTTGCAGATCGTATAAACAATAGATACGGGCAAGAATTAGGGTCCTCTTTCCATGGTAACCGGGAAAAAAAGGAACCAAACAAGATAAAGGATCCGCCTCCCAAGTTTACTACCCTTGCGACTCAAACTGACCAGAACTGCCTAAGCCAGAAAACATCACCAAGGCCCCCTTGGAAGTGTGCTCAGTGTTCCGGACCTCACAATGTTTGGAGGTGCCGAAAGTTCAGAAGTGCCTCATTGAATGACCGTCTAAAGACTGTTCGTCAACGTGGACTTTGTAAGCTTTGTCTTGACCAAGGACATACTGCGAAACAATGTGATAGGGGATTCACCTGCCGAATATCAGGTTGCGGCAAGGATCACCACTACCTGCTACATTTCCCGTCGGAGAGCGTTGATGAAAAGAACCCTAGAAATCCCAGCAGTAATGCGGTGGAAGGTTCAGCGAACAGTAGCAATGTGCAAGCGCCCAACACGAAGGATAGCAGCCCTTCGATGGCAAGTGCAAGGGAACAGGATCTGGTGACGGTTGCTGCGCTCGAAGCGGGCAGACCCAGAGTATGCTTTAAGGTAGTTCCAGTCAAGATTAGATGTCCGGGAGGTACCAGAGAGATCTTAACACACGCTTTCCTAGACAGCGGTTCAGACGCCTCGATCTGTCTAGATAGTTTGACGCGTGAAATAGGTGTAACGGATATGAAGCCAATCAGCTATACTATGACCACCACCAACTGTGCGGACGGGGAGCGAAGACATGGTCATGAAGTCCAGTTAGAAATTGAATCGTTAGAAGGAGATGCAAAGTTCCGACTGGAAAACGTCTTGACTACAAGCAATCTTCCCGTTTCAGCACGACAAATGGCCACAAACGAGGATATTAAGCGTTGGCCTCATCTTTGTGACGTTAGCTTACCCGAAACAGGAGATAAGAAAACGGCAATTTTGATAGGAAACGATCGCCCAGACCGCATTGGAGTCAAATACGATCGATATGGTACACACTCGATTTGAAAACATACAAATTCTTTAATACATCGTCCAGCCGAAATTAAATACTTTTCTTATTGTCTTTTTTTTTTACAGTTACTTGCGTAGCATTGCCTACAGGGAGTTTTCCAGGCTTGTCTACAAGCGAATTCCTCTTCCTGCGTGTGCTTACACGGCAATAAGAAAACAATTTCCTGTCGGCAGAGATGAAACCTACACTGGATTCGAACTCGACGACTTCAGATGATTAAGTAAACTTTTTAGGCCTTTTCCCTTGTAAATTATTCTGTTATTAAATTGTTGATCATCTGTTTAACTGTCTGTTTTACTTCATCTTTTGTTGACGTAAACAGTAGATTTATTTTGAACTGTAGCTTTTACCACTATTTTTTTTTCCTTTGATATACAATTTTACACATTTCAATAAGCATGTAATAAAAAAGAACTAGTGATAAATCAACAGGTGGGGTTTTCGCCCGGGGGGTACTCACCATAATGGCCTATAAAGGAAGGCTCTGCCTAAAAGGGGTATCTTTTTCTGGCTTCAGTATATGAAAGGGTAGGGATTTTACTCGTTGAAGTATATGAAAGGGTAGGGAAATCTATCATTTGGGTCTGTGAAATGGCTAGTAGGGCCCACAAATGAATTTTATAGCTTTATAAAGTCAAGAAAACGTTCTATTTGTGTGATTGATTCCAATTTAAAAGACAGTTCATTTAAAGCGGTCAAAAGAGATGCAAAGTTCTAAACAAGGTATGTGAAAGGGGTACCAAATGTCAATAGAATTGAAGGTATACGTGAAAAATGGCATATAAAAGGGTAAGGGGTTGGACCTCGGGGTGGAACCTCCCCACATAAAAATTTGTTGAGTACCACCCCAGGGGTGTTCGTTGTAAATAATAAAAAGTCATTATGCAATGAAAATTTATTTTTGCCCGCCAAAAGAGGCCACTGCTAGCACAAAACTTTTTTCCTCTCCATTATGAAAAAGAGCAATCTCCTATAGCCCCTTGTTACGAGAGAAAGAGAGATCAGGAGATGTGTCACTGATAAGAGAAGGTCAGGTCCTCAAATCCCCTAGTGCTAGACACAACTACCGTAAATCCTCTATTAAGCCCCCCCTGGGGGGCTTATTTTTTTCAAGCACTTTTGAGGGGGGGCTTAATAGAGAGGGGGGCTTATTAGCTTTCCTCCTCTGAAAAGGGGGGGCTTATTAGAGGGGCGGCTTAATAGAGGATTTACGGTATACACACAGCCCGCTGACTGATTGGTTTCAATTTATTTCCCACCAAAATCCTTTGACTTTTCTTTAATATTGCTGGTAAGCTTCCTTAAAGAGTTATTATTGCCAACCAACCTCCAAAGAGGCAGCGTGGCCGAGTGGTCAGCGCGTCGGACTCGCAATCCGGCGGTCCCGGGTTCGAGTCCCGCTCTGGCCACTTGCTGGATTTGTGCTCGGTCGTCCCGAGTTCAAATTCTCGGCCACGCTTGTAAATAGCCAACTGGTTGCCTTCTGCCAGTTGGGTTTTTAATCCTGTTATGTTGTATTTGAATTATTTGTTTCTAAATATTTGAGTGGAGTGCCTGTAAATTAGCTGACTAGCTAAGTGCACCTTCCACTATAAACATGCCTTTAACCTTTTAACCTAAGGCTATGCATAATTTGTATGAGAATTCTGATTTCAATTGCAAAAGGATAGATATAGCTGACCAGTTTTGTCTGTATATACATAGACCACAATTCAATCACAATACACACATGTATATGCGTAGTATAACTCAAAACTTGTACAAGAATAGTTCCCTACGGAAGCTCAACAGAGACAATATTCACTATGGCTTTTAAACTTCTAGCCCTATTTCTTATTCTTTGGACAGTCTTCAATATTCTTGTGTCCTTTCATGGGATTTTTGCATGCAGAGCAATAGCGAGCTTTCTTGGGGCCATCTCTGGGAGTTTTCTGTTTTTTTTTCCCTTTTTCTTGTATTTGAACTCGTGCTTGCAACTGGTTCATCAGGAAGTAGGAAAAAAAGTAAATTGAATACAGTACAATTCCGCAGCTCCTCTAAAGGTGATAGAAAGGGTTGTGACGATGAAAATCTTTACTCCTTTTTCCACAAAATTCATTCCTTTCTCCAATTTTTATAGAAAATAATCTACATAATATATTATAAACAGAAAAGATCACTACAGTCAAATACACAACTTATGCAGTTGTGGAAAGAAAGCCTGAAAAAATTCAGGCTTACAGGGATTCCAACCCTGATCTCTGTGATACCAGTGCAATCCCTGTGCAGGTTGAAATTGAAATTGAAATGAACTGCTGCAAGAATATGCCTGAAAATAAAAACAGACAATATTTTCAATAAAGAGGTTATACAGACTAAACTACAAAAACGTAATATCATTCAATAATGACGGGATTGGAATAACACTTTGTGAACAAACGTTCTGGATGTTTTTTTCTTCCAAATCAGCTAAAAATTTTTCTACGTGGCCTCTGATTCAACAGAAAAACCTTGCCCTGCATTTTTTTTGCCAGTTTTAGCTTATTTTGCAAGAAAAAATGTATGCAAAAAATGCGTTGGCCTTTTTTTTGTTAAAATAGGAAACAAAAGAAACCTATTAAGTTCTTTGTTTAGCAAAATCAGCAGAGCGGGAGATTATTCTTACCAGCAAGACATTCCAACATAAGAATATGCTATCATCTGAATATGGCTGCCCGGAAATCTTAGCTTACTACGTACAGATAAATATCGTACCTTATCGTAAAGACTGGTCCATCTTCTGCTTTGATTTAGCCGATGACCTTGTTCCCTTTAAAACTAAGTCCGCGAAAACTCGCCTTGAAAATGATGGGCTCCTGATCGTTGATCACTAGATCAAAAGTTCGATTGTTTTTCAGCGCGCACGCTGTAAAAATGGTTGGCTCCTATTTAGCTCTCCTCTGCTGGACAAAGTTCACCCATTTCCGTCCTCTTTTAATGCTTTCCTCGCGTGAGTCATCAAAGATAGGAATTCTATGAAGCCCGATACCTCTTTGGGGATCGGCTGTTCTGCTACAACCGAAAACAACACAGGCGTCGTGCATGATTCCAGAAGAAGATTTCAAGAGGAGTCCGTGTTGCTCGCGAAGGTCGAGCTCGTTTCAATGACGTCACAATAACACTCGGACCCATTCTCCACAGAGATCGGTAAATTTGTAAATTTGAAACTTTGAAAAATTATAAAAAAATAAGGAAAAACGCTATGACCAAAATTTTTTCGCACAAGTAAGCAGGATGATAAGAAGATTTCGTTCAGCGAAAAAAAAATTGAGGGGTTAGTTGCACTTTAAGAGGCGGTCCGTGTAAGAACCGACCACTCGAATTTCCGCGGAAAACAGAATTCCTTCATTTTTTTTCTGCAACATAATTAGCCCATTCCATTAACAAATATCGAATTTGTTTGGCTCATAGTGCTTTTTAAAAAAAATTTGGGCGGCGATTTGCCTGGACGGTCCAAAGCTGTCATGATCGTCTTTTTGAAGGTCAAATTTAAGCGTGTTGTTCAAAACTCGCAAAAATTTCGCATTTATCCAAATAGCATAAAACAAAAGTGTGATTTTAATTCATGCTTCCTTTATTCAAAAAAGGCAAAATATTTAAATTCTGACTTTAAAAAAACGAGTTTTGATGTTTTGAAAATATCACGTAAAGCGTCCTTGAAAAAAATGCGCGGTTATCCTAGTTTTAAAATAAGCTTTTTTCAAAAGTCTGACGTTATCTGGAGTCTTGGTCACCCTCCCTGTTCAGTAATAGGGCTAGTGTATCGAAATCAAGAAAAACATTTTTGGGCACTGTTGATTCCGAAGCACAAGAGTTCGATAAAGTTGGGTAATATTTTACTGTAATTGTGCGTATGACGTAATTTACGCATTTTGGTGATTCCGAATTTTCCCACTGAAAATCAAACCGAGAGAGCAAATGTATTTAAAAGTGGCCTTTATTGTTCGAGATAAACTGTGAACAGCCAACAACTTACCAAATGCCACACGAAACTAGGAATTGCGAAGTTTAATAGTCGAAATTATCGATTCCGGGGTAAGTTGTCAGTCGTCTAAGTTTACTTCTAAAAGCCGTTTACAAAATTTCATTCAATTAAATTGGTCGTAGGTTTTCCTGATCAACAAAAAAAGAAAAAGCTTTTCATTCAGGTTAAGCATATAATTACTTGACGAAAGTGAGTCCTGTTTAAAAGAATTACACATTTTATTAAAAACACCCAGTACATTACAGCCGAAATTCAAATCATCTGAACAGTGTTAATTTCCCGTCACGCTGGCTACGCGTGAATGTCAGTCTTTTAGCTTGTCACGCGTATGTACCTTTTTAGTACGGTTGACAAAAAAACATGTTCTTTTCTAATTCGACTTTTCAAAAAGTATAAAGGTCTTAAAACGTCTTTTCAAGTTTTCGAAAAATAACTGCCTCCACGATCTTTTTGAACTCGAGGTCGAAAAACCCTGTTGGTTACTATATTAAATAGCGGTTTGTGCCTTAATGCGGCTGGTTACAGTCACAGCCTTCAAGAAATTCGGATAGGTTCGCTACAAGAATTTTTTTCTATCGCGAGAACTAAAAGGAATTTCAAAAAGTATAAAGGTCTTAAAACGTCTTTTCAAGTGTTTGAAAAATAACTGCCTCCACGATCTTCTTGAACTCGAGGTTGAAAAACCTGTTGGTTACTATAATAGCGGTTTGTGCCTTAACGTGGCTGGTTACAGTCACAGCCTTCAAGAAATTCCGATAGGTTCCCTACAAGAATTTTTTTTCTATCGCGAGAACTAAAAGGAATTTCAAAGTATTTCAACATGTCCTTGAGCATAGCAACGCTAAATCTTTCAAGTTTCTTCTCGTGTGAAAGGTCACATAAACAATATGAATCATAGCAGATCGGATGCTTAGGACCAAGGTGGGTGGCTACCTCTTCCAGGGTGGCTCGTCTTTCCTGCTCTTCCTGTTCCGCCTCTACGTCTTCATTGAGCGCTTCCCGATGTGCTTTGCTTCTTCGCGAGGCCGCTAGCCTCGAAAAAAATCCCTGTACTTGACCCTTTGTGAGCCAATGTTTCCTCTCAAACATCCGAGAACTGTCTGGGTTTCTTGCAGTTCGCACTTCTGCTGCCACTTTTGCGGGATCTGACTTGATGCCAGTTCTTTCTCCAAGATCAAATTTCGTTGTTAGGTTCTGTTTAACCTCGGTAGGAAAACGCACAGCTTCGTTTCGGGGCTTGTGTAGAACCCATCCAGTCTGCAAGTCACTGCACTCGGGAAAGCGGCCAGTTTTATTCTTTTCGTGATGCTCCTCTACAACTGCTTCAGGCACGCTTCTGATTTCTTCGTCCTTATCAACAGTACGAAATTTCTCCGCCCAGTCTCTTCTGAGCTTGTCATACACCGTATCAGAGTTTCCGCGAACTTGGCTGTGCTCACCAACATCAAGGTGATTTTCGAGTTCACTGAATTTCTTGAAAACCATGTTGCACCCGGGCTCAGAACAAGAGAAAAGACCGTTGCATTGTTCATTTTCACTGTTTGTCTCTCTCTTATACACTCGAGCTTCTTTGAGAGGAAAGAAGTTTTCATGCACAATGAGACCAGTAGGACCTTGAGGTTCAGTTATGACCTCTCGGTAAGGAATAAACTTGCCTAGTCCAACACCATAAGCTTTCCATGCTCTAATTCCTTTCACTTCAAACTTGAAATTGTGATACTTGCTGAAACCTTCTATCTTATGTAGTTCGAGTGTCTTTTGAGTCTCATTCATTGCGCACACGGAGGCAGTTGTACCTTGAACAGGACGTTCTGAAAGCGCTACACGCATGTCTTTCGCAGAAACGACATCGTGTCCTTCATTGCAATATCGTCGGATGGATGATTTCATTGGACAAAGGATTCTATCACAGATATCTTTTCCATACTGCGGCTCGGAAAAGTCATACAGTGCTACTTCAATGCCTACTCGTCTTCCGGCATCTCTAACGGCGGCTAAGAGAAAGTTATTGTGGTAACAGCCTGCTTCGTCACTCCTTAGGTTCACTTGGGTAATCTGGGGATGTTCTCTCTTTACAACCTCAAGTGTGTTTTCGATGATCGAGCATACTGCGTACCAGTCTTGCTGGCAAGAGTCGAAGATATGAGCATACGATTGCAGCTCAATTTTTCCAGAGTCAACATTCTTAGTTATAAAGGTGGAAATATGCCAGCTGAGCCCCCGTTTGCCGAACCATTCAGACTGTTTCTCACGAAATTTTATTTGGAGGAACTTCATGGCCCAGTCCATGATCAGAATGGCTGACTGTGGGTCTTCTGATTTCAGTGCATCTTGTTTCGCCTCCTCCTGATTTATTGAGCGTACAATGTGCGCTTTCCACAGCAAGATGTCTGACTGTGCACGGTCAAAGTCGTAAAGGACATCTTCTCGTTGTTCGCAACTGTAAGGCTTCCATGACGACCCTTCAGTGGCTAGTCTCACTTCCTTTAGAACATCCTTCAGCCCTTGGCATTGCTCGCAAGTCGATTGATGCTGATGCGGACAAGGATGCTGGAGCTCGGGATCAACAGGATCACTAAGCGCAAACTTTCTACAGTGGTCAGCACAAGTAGAGTAATGCTGTTGACAGTGTACACGGTAGTCAGTTTTGAGATAGCGTTTAGCATCGCGTAGGTTTTGGCAAATACGTAAACACCACTGTTTCTCCATTCCTCCCTTCTCAAGAGTTTCAACCAGCGTCTCAATAGTCTGAAAGCCCGCAGCACCATCTGCAGCCGTATTGTCCACTCCCTGGAGCGATTTACGCTGAGACGCTTCTCGAACCTCCAATATTTTAAACAGAGAAGACCTACTAAGTGGCTCGTGACATTGCTCTTTGCAATACTCCAAGTATTGCTCAATCATTGTAGACCTGGTCAGGATCCTTACAACGTTAGGCATCTCAATTCTGTCACCATTATCTAGGGTGAGTACCTTGTTACCATATGAAACATCCTGATAAAAGTACGGTCTTTTAATGAACTCTACAAAGTGGTCGACCTTCCCCATATCAAGGCGTACGCGATGCTTCGTCTTGATTTCAGGGATGGTCCCAGGACCGTGCATTTTAGCATGAGAACGTGCTTGCTTTATTTCCCATGTAGAGAGACTTCCGTAAGGTTGGTGAATTTTCTTCAGTTTGGTCATAGGGTATCTTTGAGCGTAAAGGCTCAGAATCTGTTTCTTTAAATTCCTGGTCTTTGCGTTCTTATAAGCAGTCATGAGTACCACAAGATCATCGGGGACTGCGCCATCAAATAATTCTCTTTGTACAGACATCATTGACTCGAAGAGCTCCTCTCCGTTACCTGGGGCAATTACATTACATACGTGCAAGCAGTCCTCTTTAGCCTTTTTTACAAATTTCAGCTGTTCCCCATCGCTTAAGTTTTGGAATGGAGTTTTAAGCTGATATTTAAGAGGTTCGCGTTCTACCTGTTCTTGTGTAGCAAGACTCGCAATTGTATCCATCGCCTCGTTATACCTGCCGACTGCATCGGTTACCACGGGTGAAGTTAAAGAGGCCTCCTCTGACCCTGGAGTCCAGCATGGTGTTATCGGATTCCAGGAAGCTGGCGTTGATTGGTCTTCAGGAAATGGAGTGGAAGTGACCATGCGACCGATGGCTCCCACAGCAGCCTCTTTAGCAGGTCTGCGGAGAATAAAAATGGAAAGGTTGCTACTTAGTTGCCTTGCGATAGGATAACCTGACAGGACAACCGTGTGTGTGTTTTTTATAAAACAACAACCAAACGACTACCCTCCCGACAGTACCTTTGAAGGAGCACATCTCCCTCAGTTTCCTCAGGGTATAGCCAGTCTGATTTCCGATCTACTTCTTCACTGTGTTTCTTTCTGCACGTTGTGCAAATAGCTATAGTAACAAAAAGAAACAAAAAAAGTTTTCCAACCTGGAAAGACTTGTTAAAAAAATACTGAATTTACTACTAAGTTGATAATAGAAGCTATATGTTTATATCCCATCTTGGAAATTATGTTATATAGGCTATAAATTAGCAACCGAATTTATGGATGATGCACAGCAAAGAACTATTGCTGTAATGAACTACAAAAACCAAATTATGATCATTTGATATGTTATTTTTTTGGAAATGATTTTCTGGCTCCAAAATACTATCAAATACGGGATCGATCGTTTATCGTTCAGAAAATATATAGAATGGGACTTCCCCTCAGTCTACAGCTCGCTTTTAAGTAATTACGAACGAAAGTATTTAGTTGAAATGTTAAGGAAGACAAAACCCTTTAATTCTGATATGTTAATTATAAAATGAAAGCATAAAACAGTTATAGTTGCTAGTCTGATAGTACTTACGCGAGCCAACGGGAACGGCTTCTTCAAAGATATTTTTTATTTCCCTTGCAGTCTTGAAATTAATAACATGTGTTCCGGCTATTGCCATTTTCTTCCCGTGATGTTTTGGATACTGGCAGGTCTTTGGAGCTTGCCAGTATTTTTCCAAAGTGTAACGATGGACTGGACAAACCGTCATATTCTTGATCTGATCATCAGTGAGTTCTAACAGACCTACCCTTGCCAGTATCAGATCCATTTCACAAACATTTTCCCTTGACAGGTGGTGATTCATTAGGTGTGAACTAATGTCAGCGTTGCAACTATTCAAGCAAACAAAATCGACATATCCTCGATTACTTCCGCATTTTCCGCCTGTTAATGCGGAAAAAGAACAAAATGCAGCCATTCTATCTGCGAAGGTTATCTCGGCACACTGTAAATACGCTCTACGTTTTGTGTTGCAAATTTGCATACGATATTAAATTAAGTGAACGACGCCAGAAAAATTAACTTAAATTGAATTAAAAACTTGAAGAAATTTTTAGTAACCCAGCAAAACCTTTTTATTCTTAAAAGTAGCCAGTTTTTTGTACCTTGTTTATTTTACCTCGTTAAGCCTGATAAGTAGTTTCAGCTTCGATAAAATAACATTCAACATGTTTTGCACTGCAAACTGAAATCTGAAATTGACATCCTCAGACACAATATAAATGATGTCGTCTGCACGCAAAAACTTGTGGCTAGAAAATTCGGTACATTTTGGTAAACTATTTCTTTGCTGGATCGTGACATAACTTTTGAGGTGGTAATTACGCGGTAAATCTATTCACAATGTGTTTTAAATTTTTTTTACCGTTCTAGCCCGTTTATTTCAACGAAATTTCTCAACTGTTTAGCCCCAACTTGACATAGCAACATTCACCGGAGCTGCTACGTTTTTTTGGAACATCCCAATTTTAATTTAGGACAATATGTAGTGGATTTTAAGATATTCACTGTTTGTCCCCAGCATTAAGTTAGTTTTGAAAATAGTTGCTCCCTGACAGTAATGATTTTTAGTTTTATAGTAGGAAAGTTCGGAATCAAGAAAATGCGTAAATTACGTCATACGCACAATTACAGTAGATTGTTACCCAACTTTATCGAACTCTTGTGCTTCGGAATCAACAGTGCCCAAAAATGTTTTTCTTGATTTCGATACACGAGCCCTATTACTGAACAGGGATAGTGACCAAGACTCCAGATAACGTCAGACTTTTAAAAAGAGCTCATTTCAAAACTAGGATAACCGCGCATTTTTTTCAAGGACGCTTTACGTGGTATTTTCAAAACATCATAATTCCTTTTTTGGGGGGTCAGAATTTAAATATTTTACCTTGTTTGAATAAAGGAAGCATGAATCAAAATCATACTTTTGTTTTATGCTATTTGGATAAATGCGAAATTTTTGCGAGCCTTGAACAAAACGCTTAAATTTGACCTTAAAAAAGACGATCATGACAGCTTTGGACCGTCCAGGCGAATCGCCGCCCAATTTTTTTTTAAAAAAGCACTATGAGCCAAACAAATTCGATATTTGTTAATGGAATGGGCTAATTATGTCGCAGAAAAAAAAATGAAGGAATTCTGTTTCCCACGGAAATTCGAGTGGTCGGTTCTTACACGGACCGCCTCTTAAGGACCGTGTTCACATAAACTTTACTCGCACCGGCCAAGATAGCTTAAGCGTTGAGCTAGAGCGCATGTATGATGAGGAATTTGTTGAAGCTGATGCCAATGCTGAGGAAGGCATGTCTGTTGAGGACCGTAAAGCACAGGAACTTATGGATCAGTCAGCGACCTTAGTGAACGGACACTATCAGCTTAAGCTTCCTTTTCGCCAAGAGAAGCCTGACCTTCCTGAGAGTCTGTCGACGGCCACAAGCAGGTTAAGTTGGCTACAGAGAAAGATGCGGAAGGATCCAGTTTTCCACCGAAAGTACTGTGGCGTAATGGACAAGTACCTGACCGAGGGAGCATCACGACGGGTACCTGATGACGAAGTCCCAGTGCTTAAGCCGCTATGGTACCTTCCTCATCACGCGGTGTGGCATCCTAGAAAACCCGAAGAACCGCGGGTAGTGTTTGATTGTGCCTCAAGGAGTGGTGGAACGTCTTTGAATGAGCAACTTTTGAGAGGCCCTGAAAACACCAGCACCCTGATAGGAGTGATCCTGAGATTCCGAGTAGATGACGTTGCAGTTACGGCAGATATTAAGAGAATGTTTCACCAGGTCTTCGTAGCACCAGAAGATCGTGGAGCGTTGTGTTATTTATGGTGGCCGAATGGTGACCAGTCAAAGGGAACGAAGACTTACCAAATGCTCGTGCACATTTTTGGAGCAAAGTCCTCGCCGAGCGTAGCAGGATACGCCCTGAGAAAGACGGCTAAGGATAATGAGAAAGACTTCTCCCAAGAGGCAGTTGACGCCGTTCTTAAGGATTTCTACGTAGATGACTTGCTTAAATCCTTTGCTGATTCAGAACGCGCAGTACAAGTCAGTAAGCAGCTCCAGGAGTTACCTGCGAGAGGAGGCTTTGAATTGACAAAATGGATTTCCAGTTCTCGCAGCGTGTTGTCAGCGTTCCCGGTGGAGGAAAGAGCACCCACCATTAAGAGTTTAGATTTGAAATCAGAAAGTTTGCCTATAGATAGAGCACTAGGAATCCACTGGAATGTTGAACATGACACCATTGACTTTGTTGTGAATGACAAGGAGCGTCCAGAGAATCGGAAAGGTGTCTTATCATCTATTGCAACGGTGTATGACCCGCTCGGATTGGCCAGCCCCCTACTCTTACCTGGAAGAGAAATGAATAAGGAATTGTGCAAACTAAAGTTGGATTGGAATGAGAAGCTCCCAAGAGAATTGTGTGAACATTGGAAGAGTTGGAGAGAAAGGCTTATGAGCTTGCAAGGATTCAGTATTCCTCGATGTTGTAAGCCAAAGGACTTCGGTGAAGTGAAACATGTAGAGCTTCATCATTTCGCCGACGCATCCCAGAGCATGGTTATGGGACAGCCTCTTATTTACGTCTTGTTAACAGTCAGGGGCAAATTCATTGCTATTTCGTAATGGGGAAGTCTCGCGTGAAACCCTTGAAAAGTGCTGTAACAGTACCAAAGCTGGAGTTGACAGCGGCTACTCTAGCAACGAAAGTCAACAAGGTCATAACGAGAGAGTTAGAAGGAAGACTGGAGATTAACAGTGTGACTTACTGGACTGATTCTATGATAATTCTCAAGTACATTGCCAATGAAGTACGAAGATTTGTAACCTTCGTCGCAAACCGGGTAGCTGTCATACGTCAAGAATCAGATCCAGGGCAGTGGCGGCATGTACGATCAGAGCTCAATCCTGCGGATTATGCTTCCCGAGGGATCAAGGCCTCGGAGACCGGAAAACTGGAAAGGTGGCGCCGTGGTCCAGAATTCTTGTGGAGAGAAGTTGAAGATTGGCCCCCGCAGCCTCCAGAGGAATTGGGAGACCTCCTAGATACAGACGAAGGAGTGAAAAAGGAGAAAGTCACTGTTGGAGCATCCACAGTTCATGCGGATTTCTGGAGCATTTTGTTCCAACGATATTCGTCGTGGAATCGATTGAGAAGAATAGTTGGGTGGTTATGTAGAGCCTTCAACAGACCGTGCCAGAAGGACAAAGATAGAAGTGTGAAGTATAGTCCTAAAACCTTATCGATCCATGACGTGGACAAAGCGGAGAAGAAAATTGTGAAGTTCTTCCAGGAACAGTCATTTGCTGATGAGAAAAGTGAAACAGTCATCAAAGGCAGACTAGCCAGACTTAAGCCATTCGAAGATGAAGGAATCATACGTGTCGGCGGAAGATTGAATCACTCGAGTTTGCCATATGATGCCAAGCACCCGATGATACTGCCAGCAAAGCACCCCGTGTCTGAGTTGATAATCCGCCACTATCATCACTTGAATGGACACGTAGGAACCTATCAAGATCTGGCCGAAATTAGGCAGCGCTATTGGATCGTGAATGCAGTTTCCACGATAAAGCAAGTTCTTGGCAAGTGTCATGTGTGCAAACGTCAGAACGCCAAGTTAGGAGAACAAGTGACAGCACCACTTCCAGTTGTTAGAGTGTCTTTGGACAGTCACAGGCTCGTATATCCATTTGCTGCAGTTGGGTTGGATTACTTCGGCCCCCTCTACGTGAAGATAGGACCTAACACAAGATCAAGGAGAGACCCTTCTCTGAACAAACGTTACGGCTGCATCTTCACTTGCTTAAGATATCGAGCAGTTCACATAAAGGTTAGTTAACAACCTCTCCACTGACAGTTTTATCAATGCCGTTTTGCGCTTCGTTGGTAGAAGAGGCCCCCCAGGTATTATCTATAGTAACAATGGTACTAATTTTAGAGGAGCTGAATTGGACGTCGTCAACGCTTTAAAGGTGTGGGATCAGGAGAAGATTCAGTTGAAGTTGACCAGGAGAGGAATTGAGTGGAAATTTAACCCACCCACGGCCAGTCACCAAGGCGGCGCATGGGAGAGACTTATACGGTCTATCAGACGGATCCCTCATTCTATGGTGGGAGAACGCCTCGTAGACGAAGAAACCCTGAAAACATTCCTCATTGAAGTAGAGAAGATTTTGAATGACAGGCCAATCACGCCGGTCTCTGATGATCCAAAGGATTTGGAAGCACTGACGCCGAACCATATCCTTCTGTTGCGCCGAAACCCGTCTTCATCCCCAGATTTATTCAAGGAGTCAGATCGATTCAAAGCCAGATGGAAGCACGTTCATCTTCTCGCAAATGAATTTTGGCAGAGGTGGACAAGGGAATATCTGCCAACGCTCCAAGAACGCCAGAAGTGGTTACAACCTAAGCCAAACTTTATAGCAGGAGATTTAGTGTTGCTTGCAGACAAGAATTTGCCCCGGGGTCAGTGGCCAAAGGGCTTGGTCGAGCAAACCTTTCCTGATAGCGAAGGCATGGTACGCCAAGTTGTCGTCAGAACAGCGGACAGAGCGTACCGCAGAGATGTCCGGAAGCTCTGTCTATTGGACGAGCAGTTACTAGGTGGCTTGGAACAGCGGCCAAAACCTCTTTGAAGCTACCAGTTCATGTGTGTAGGAAGGGCACCGAGAAGTGTCTGAACTGTTCCGAAAGGTTCAGATAACTGAGGGAACTTTTGAGGAACTTTGTACTGATCGGATAGTTTCGACTAGTTTTTTGTACGCTCAGTACTAGTTTGTGCTAAAGTAGAAAGACTCCCCAGTCGTCTTTCGGGGGGGAGCGTGTAAGAGACAGAAAATAAACGTTATATGGTGTGGTCTTCGGAGACCGCGCACAAAATATCGCGGGCGCTCTTTCCCACGAAAGCACATGTTTTGTTATGGAGTTGTAGCGGCTGGGTCCCCTGTTTCGTTTGTTTTCCCGCCTTTAGAGGTCATGTGACTTTGTTTTTAGTTGCCTTTTGATACGTTTCGGCGAGTGTTTGCAGCTAGGGCATTCACTCGAAGTAACGAACAAAATTGATCGGTTTCGACGCATTGACGACTGTATTGTTTGGAACATTGTCTTCGTGTATTGTCACGATTCAAGATTGTAGCCGTCCTTGCAGTATTGGAAATAAAGGTCCGTAAACAAGGGTGAATTTCGTCGCTACAGGAGTTATACTGTCGTTTCGTTAGGACAAGTTTTCCTTTCCATTAAGAAGGCACAATAACTTGTAAGTATGCAGTATTTTCGGTTATTCGGTCAATATCATCTTTGTAATAGTCGCGTTGTTGTTATTTCAGCGAATCTTTCTCTTTCACGTGCAATTTGTGAATGGAATGAATACAAGTTATGTGCAGATTAGAAACGAACGAGCAAGTGAACAACTGATTAAAGTACAGTTTCAAGTAGCTATGAGTGGACGCTACAACGTATGTCTTACACGGAGCTAAATATTGCATAGATGACTCATGTTAACCAGTTATTTTAATTCTTGAACCGAGTTTGAATATAGTACATTGATATCGGTTAACGAACTATGAAATGACTCCTGAGTTCAAACCTTAATTCACAGTGTCTAGATAGCAGCAACAATATAGATAGTCGTATAAACGTAACAACTTTCTTTAATTTTCCAGACATGTTTCGACGGTACATCCGTCATCTTCAGTGTTACATATTTTGAAATCGCCGTTGAATTTAAAGCGCGCGCGATCTTACAAAGTTCGTTACATTGCGTTGTCAATATTGCGTGCTAAAACAAAGTTAAATGAGTGACGCTTAGTTCTTTACAGGGAGAGAGTCAGGTTAATGTGTTTCACCTGTTGGTTGACATCGGGCTTCTCCCATTTTATAAACATGGATTCCTTAAGCTTCACTTGGTACTTAGTGGCTGCAGAGTCTAGGATCTCGAAGCAATCCGGTGTGCAGGATGCTCTACAAAACTCTGAACCCTGCAGATGATTAAAAACGTTCGAAGACCTATCTGAAAGTAAGTGCTTGCGCACTCGTGTGGAGAAGTGTCGGCTGGTTTCACCAACATAACAAGCATTACAACTTGCACACGAAAATTTATAGACCACACGCGTGCGTAGCCCCTCAGGGACAGCATCGTTCACAATAAAAAGATTCCTGACTTTGAAAGTAGTAAAGACTAGCCTTAAATCAATAGGTTTACATAACCGGTTAGCAAGTTTGCGTATACTCCTCTGTGCCGTGACTGAGAAGTGCCCAACGTAAGGGATTTTAAAGATCTCAACCAGCAGGTGAAACACATTAACCTGACTCTCTCCCTGTAAAGAACGAAGCGTCACTCATTTAACTTTGTTTTAGCACGCAATATTGACAACGCAATGTAACGAACTTTGTAAGATCGCGCGCGCTTTAAATTCAACGGCGATTTCAAAATATGTAACACTGAAGATGACGGATGTACCGTCGAAACATGTCTGGAAAATTAAAGAAAGTTGTTATGTTTATACGATTAATTCACAGTAAATGTAAAATATAATGAATTTTACCTGGTGATAAGAGAAGACAATTTCACCTGTTTTATTAAGCGTACACTGAAAGGTGAAACCACCGGCTGAAATGAAGCAAACATGAAATTAAAAAAAAACCTTTTAAGCTTTGCATTTTTCTTTCACAACATGACGCTTTTACCTTGAGGATTTTCATGTAGAAGAATGTTAGACCACTGTACAATAAATGTTTGTCCTACAACAGAGAAGCAAACAAGCATCCAAGTTAGGATAAGGAGGAACGTACAAAACCTGGCACTTCTCTCGCCGCGAGGGCACAACAAAATTCCAACACAGGTTACTCAAAAATAGCTTTGTATAAGAGCCCCAGTCCTTAAGTTGATAAGAGTAACGTTTGTTTTTCCTTTTTTCGTCTTTTGATAGGTCAAGGTCTCATTTCCTGCTGGAAAAATATTTTTTTCTCTTGAATGGCCCCCTGTTTTTTATCATAGTCCTTGTAAATAAACTCCGTCTGGCAGCTCGAATGATAAATTTTATCTTAGTTAGGAACATACATACATACAAATACATACATAAACATTATTTGAATTCGAATTTACTGAAGTAGCTCTTTTGAGCTAATATTTCCGAACAAAATAGAAGTAAAGCTTACTGAAAATTATTAAAGTTAGTAAAAAACATACGAAACTAATTTTAATGAGAATTCAAATTTCTTAAGGAATTTTGAAAGTCATCGATTGATATTATTTGTCTCATGTCGTCTTTAAGTGAGTTCCAAAGCTTTGCAGCTTCGTACGTGATGGACTCGAGTCCACAAGTGGTTGTCTTAGGTTCAGGTAAACTCGGTACATTATTCCCTCTCAAAAGATATTTAGAGCTGCAAAGAGGGAACAGCTTCTCGTAAGATACGCAGAGACAAGTAAGCTTTTAAACACTACAATAAGCATTTTGTGATTTCTTCCACTGTACAAGGATATCGATGTTGTCTTAGCCATGTTTAGCAATTCTTCATAACTAGAATTTGCATAAGTAACAATAAATTTCAAAATGCGTTTATTTAAAAGCTGTGGTTTATCACGATTTTTCGCGCACAGAAGTGCCATAATGAAAGAGCAGTAGCACAGACCCCTCATATAACATGATGATCAGATACTTATAGGTAGTGTTCCTTTCTTGTAGGGGGAGACAGCGGCTACTGTATCAGTTCTTGTATTTAGCCCTCTCTTTGGAGTATCATGGTGGCTTAAAAGAGGTTGGAAGCTTACTCTCCTGTTTTCATTGGGAGCCCTAATTTTCAAGGTATGGTTGCTACTGAAACTGTGTACCACAAGACTCAACAAATTCAACCGAAGAAATACGCGCAATACAGGTGTGTATAAAAAGGAACGCGTAAGTACGCTGCAGTCATGCTACCGACTTTACGGCATAGTTTACTAACTCACTGGTGTCACTGATACTATAGTATATTGCAATATACGTTATATGCAGTACTGGTTTGTACTGGTTAGTTTTTCGGTCATAAGTTCAAGGAAGTTGATGCTTTGGTTTTTCAAGTTTTGTTGCACAGACAAGGCTGACGTACAGCTTGCGTTTGGAATAGAACAATGTAGTAAGGTCTAGTAACCTACTTCCAAAGAAAATCAAAGATATGTGGGTAGATAGATACTCACCATCACCAAAGTAATGCACAGTGCTTGTGTCATTAAGTGAGGGATTGAAGAACGCCATTAATGGAGCCACAAATTGGAAATTTGCTATCTGGCGCTTTATTGATGCTCCCAAATTGATAAATCCTAAAACGAAAAATTTTGGAGACATTAAAAATGCGCTTCATATGCCATAGCAAGAGGAGTTTATTTTGATTTCCAGCTGGAGATGGACTGTACCGCCACTTGTTCTTTGTGGTCATTCGCCGAGCCTGGCACTCATGCCCAATAAGGCTGCAGTGCAGCCGTCTTCTTCGTCGGATAATAGGGAGTTTAAGATACGCAGACTACGGACTACGAACTACGGCTGGACGAGCGTTGTCGTTTGTTTGTAGCACTGGGTTGAGTCGTGCAAATATAGAACGTTAAGATTCCACTACAGACGGCAGACTACGAGAGAAGAGGCGGAGAGGCGGAGAGGGAAACAACACGCAAAAATTTTCTTGTTTTCACCACAGTTCACAAAAATGCAAGTCAGTTTTGCATGTGATCTTATCTTTAGAACAATGAACAAATTCTTCCATACTTGAAGGAAGCAATTACGTACACGTCGATTCGCGTACAAGTTGATTCGCCTACAACTTTACTCCTTGTTCCATCACCGTAGCTCGGGTGAAATTGGTAAACAAAGTTTTGGTTGCACAGGTTTTATTTTTTTCGCCCATGAATACTTATGTAAAATATTAAAGAAATAGACAGAAATAGTAATAGCTCATTTATTAGATTTAGAAGATGGACTTCTCCGACTACTGATCTGATGTAGTTTGAAGTATTGAAATGCCCAGTTTCGATTGTCTCGAAGATGTTTACATCATTTTCATTCAGCAAATGCGATACAAAAACTCGCATAAACAAAGGTCACACAAGTAGAAAGACACACTAATCAGTTCGAACAAACATTGAAACTTTTCAAGTGTGAAGAGAAAGTAAATTACCTGCATGATTTCTCTTCTCCTCGGCCATCAATCGGAATTCTGCGTATAAACAGCTAAGCTTCTTTAAATATGAGCTTAGCTAGATAAAAATGTAGCCACAACGGTGGATTAAAAGCGTAAATCTGAGCAGAAATTAGACACAACTTACATATTTCGCTTCCCTCTCACTTAAAGCAGGCAAATTGAACCTTTTCGAAAAGACGAGATTCTTGAATTACCGAGACGGCAAAATACGAGCAAAATGTTCTCCGTAGTCCCGACTACGCGAAACAGCTCAACAACTCACCGTAGCCGCAGGACTACGCGGGAAAAATGAACAGTCACGTGGTTTTGATCATGCGCAGTAGCATGTTTATCCGTAGCCGTAGTCCGTAGTCGGAGTATCTTAAACTCCCTAATTTAAAAACCTGGGTACGAATGTGATGCTAAAGAGGAAAAAACCGAAAAATTAAATTTGCACGCAATCTACACATACCACAGGTGTTCCAAGCTCAAATTATTTTAAACTATATGGGTATTCGAACCAAAAGGGATATCGGGGCCTAGGATAAACATTTTTATGAGGAAAAGGATTGTTTTTGAACCCGACGAATGTGAAACGATTTGAATAAAATTGACCAACCTTAGTTACGGTGTGTTCCTTCATTCCGGTGTGGTCCCCTAGCAACCAGTTTAATCCTTTTATAATCCTTAATTAATAGAGATCTATAGAGAGAGCCAACCGGTTACAATAAAACCCATAAAACGCAGTGGGCGTAAATCATCTTAGGAATCACACACAAGAAAGAAGAAACGCACAAAGCGTAAGCGACGTTGGCCGTTTTTATTTGAATTTCTTCTTATTTGTAGGTTACAGAAATAATCGGGTTTTTTTGCCCACACAAATCCTTATATTTCGGTTACCAACAGTGCCGACTGTCATATTTCCACCTTGTGCAACCTGGGCACACACACACACACACACAAAAGCCATTAAGCTGTAATTGATGGTCGGCATAGCTTGCACCTTGCCTATTCTCTAGGCCTCATTATCGCGAGCGGCCGATGCGTTTCGGGTAACGTGGTCCTAGCGAGTTTTTGGTCGTTTGTCTTGGATACGTCACCGAAATGCATTAACCGAGAAGGCCAGGGACTAGGCAAGCTTGCACCTAAAACCTACTTACCACCGCTTGTTATGGTTGCATTTGTTACCAAATGACCACAGTATGGGAATTCAAAAGGCAGTTTGATGTCTTTGACGGCGAGTTTGGCTGACGACAAATGCTCATCAAAAACACTTCCATCTTTACTCCTAAGATCGATCCACATTTGCCAGCCATCAGGATTAAATTGTGACGTGTAGTACTTGTGATTGTTCTACGAATATTCAAATAATAATAGACTTAATGATGTGTGTCACTCTGTCGTGTATCATGTTGTCTTCTTCATCCATGTGGAAATTGAGTCAGGAATGGTTTGATTTAATAACTCACCTGTATCGTGTTATTCATAACTGATATGAGGTCCTCTTCCCTCTTCTCGCGGCTCTTGCTGATCAGGCCGGCACGTTTGATTTGTATTGGTGTGAATAAGTCATAGACTATTTCGCCAAGTCCATTTCCTGATATTTCTGACGGAAGAAACATTCAGGGGCAGTCAACGTCAATTTTCGCAATATATCTGTTCGGAAGAGGAATTGAGATCTAGAATTTTCGGAAAATCTGTTGCAAAATTTCTTGCTTGCCTGCCAATCCTAGGATTTTCGAACATCTGCAAAATGGTATAATTGCCCATTTTTAACGGATTTTGTACCCTTAAAAGGTCACCTAGAAATTTCGGGAGTCTTTTTTTTCTGGCTGAAATTTTCGAAAAGGTAAGTTTTGGTCCCTATAATTTTCGGATCACTAGACTTTCAGCTAGGAAATCCGAAAAGAGGAAAAATTTTTAGGGGATAAAAATATGCCTATACTCTACCGTTTAACTACTAAAATACGTTTAACAATGCCACGTTTAAGTGATTTGGAACTAAATTCTCGTTGGGTGCCCCTGAAACATTGTTAGAAAACAGACTTGAGCCTCGTTGGTATTGATCGAGCCAAATTACAGTAGGTGACCAGCTGAGTAATCTCACAGAAAACGACGAAGTTGAAGGACTTTTCATGTGTATTACTCGCGAGAAAACTTTCTCTTGAAATATTGTTTCTTCAAGGTGGCTAGACTTCGAAACATTTGTTTCATATTACAGTTTTCGCAGCATATGTTTGTTTCGATGCTATAAACTCATTCTCCGAAACATCGCTTAGTTTCCGCGACAGTTGCTAGTTCAACAAGTCCATTGCATAACCTGTTCACTGTATGCTTTGTGCATGTGTGTAATAAATAAAGGTTTCTACCGTTTATGTTACGTCCAGTAGCACAGTATAATAAACGGGTCCACTGAGTTGATCTCATTACTTCTTCGTCACCAGGCTTTTATTATTGTACTGGCAATAACCTCCATATAAAAAGCTCCGTTTTGCATTAAGGAATATAACAAAAGTTATGATAATTGGGAGTCCTTACCTTGGCAGCTTGTGCTAGTTAAAGTAGCTAACGCTGTTGCAAGTCTAGCAAACTGATGTCGAAAACCTTCGATTGTGCGAACCATATAGGGGAAAGGTTGGACAAAATATAATGCAAATAGATGTTTAAACCTTGAGATCGATCATGGCCAAGAGATTCAGCCGATTCTATAAAGTCACGAATTTTGGATATGCCTTGATTGTTTCCTTTAGATATTTGCATAGTCATTCACATAAGGTTTAATGCTTGACTGGATCTTCATTGTAAACATAACTTGTAATTAGTTGCCATGAAAGAGCTAAGTCGTCAAAAATAATTGAAGAAAAAAGCCGAGGCGTTTATACATTCTTCCAACAGTTTCATAATTGTGTAGCAAGTTTGCACTTGTTCGTGACAAACTACTTAACCCCCCCCCCTTCCACATCCTCTGACCATTCTTATTCAAGTGTCGATGAGGCTATAAATGTGTGTGGACTGGAGGCTTTTAAAACTTTTAAAACAAGCAAAACAGACGTCTTTGCTTTTATTTATTTTTTTTTATAACAGTCACATCCCTAGTCGCCACCATGTTACATCCATCCTGGTCAGTTCCGTGCGGCATCCTGAAAGCAGCACACCCATCGGTCGGGTGCCGGACCTAAAGCTCAGTAAGCACTGAGGCAACTTCTGGTAAAGAGAGTTGACTTCGATGATAAAAATTCTAGCCTTACCAACCGAGCTATGCCGGATGCCATTACGCATGCACTAAAGGAGGCTCCAATCCCGCCAGACAACAACAACAATAATAAATAATTTATATCGTGCTTTTCAGCTACTCCTTCATAGCGCTTTACAATGATTATGCCAACGTAAAAACTAAAAGCCAAAAACATAGCGAGGTAAATTAATTACAAAGCTTAGAAATATATGTAGAAGAAATAAAAGTTAAAAATCTATAATCAAAAAAATACTAAGATAAATTTACAGATAAGTAAAATGTAAATACGTGTACTAGAAATAATAGGTAAAAGTCGTAGGCTTCTTTAAAAAGACAATTTTTCAAATGTTTTTAACAAGTAGCTATTGATGGAGATAGGCAAGTTATTCCATAGCCTTGGCGCCGCAGTGCTGAATGCCCGGTCTGCGTAAGTCTTAAGTTCAATTAGCCAGTGGCACAGTGAGCAGTTCTTGGCCACTGGAACGTAATGACCGAGAGAACCTTCGTTGACTGAGAAGACTGGAAATATAAGGTGCTTTGCCGTTGAGTGATTTAAGACTAATAACAATTAGCTTTAAGAATAATACGGGATTGTACAGGTAACCAGTATAGCTTGAACATTATTGGGGTAATAGAATCATATTTCCTTGTTGCGAGCTGCCGTGTTCCGTAAAGGCTGTAATTTGGGAATACCATACAGAAGGGAGTTACAGTAGTCAAGCTTAAAACCAATATAAGCGTTGATGAGAATTGCAGCAGAACCCTAGTTTAGATATACCCATACCCATCTGCTAGTCACGTAGTCAAAGAGTTGAATTGTAAGGTATTAAGGGGATCATTTTCATGAGTAACATAGGAATATCAGTTCTGATGACTTGTTCAGGCGTTTTGACTACTGAGCTTTAGGAAGACCCACTTGAGCTAACTCATGTATAGCCTCCTAAGCATCATGACTGAATTGACTTCTGGTTTGGATCATGAATGACTTTCCTGGCATCAAAACAACAACAAATGCATAGAGAAGCAGGATTTATTTAACGTCAAAACGTCATAACGTTCTATATTATTTCTGTAGTTAAAATCAGTGACTAATTTTATGTGGGTAAAAAACGTTGCAAAACTTATATACATTTAGTTTGATTCAATTGAAGTGCTATGGAGCGCTAGTTTCTTGTGGTGCTTTATCATCATCATCATCATCATCATCATCATCATCATCATCATCATCATCATCATCATCACCATCGCCATCATCAATATCATTATCATACTTGTAACAATTACTTTCTAAAGAACACACAGTCCTTTGCTTTGGACATCAAATTTCCGCGTTAAATAGAAGTTAACACGACTTTGCCGTAGCTTTTAAATATTTACAAAATTATTTAACAACTTAGCAGAGGCTTACTTTCGCTTCTTTAACGTTAAGGTTTTTAAACGTAAATAGACTAGGTCTATAGGACTGGCTGTTGCTGTCATCATCCAGCAAAACACATGTGATAAAGCTGAACTTTGTTAATGTCGTCATACCTTTTGGCACTTTAAAATAATGTTACTGATCTTCATAGTGAATTGAAATCCATTCTAACACTTAACCTCGGCTGATACAACTACTACAGTAGTAAAAGGAAAGCAAATACTAGCAGCTCAGGAAAATGAAGCCACATCCGCCACCCACAAGACAAAAGACAAACATTCTTTACCTTAGTTTGTTAATATTGCTATAGAGAGTTTTCACTCACGTGGCCAGCATCTATGCAAGTTTATTGGAAAAGAAAGCGTTTGCATACGAAAAGAGTATTGGTTTGGGACACCAATGTGGCCGCCGTTTCATTCTTTTGGGACGCCAATATGGCCGCCATGACGTCATGTGAAAACACTCTATAAGCTGCAGTAGCAGTCGAAATTGTAAATGGTAACTAAGTAATACATTGCGGCTTGGAGTACGGTAACTTCATTTTCTTCTTCAGTGACCTATTTTTGCGACGGAGAGCTGCGATAGTTTGCCAGGTTTTATGTCATGAAAAGGAGAACCCCTCGCAACACAACATTTGAATTCATGCTTAGCAACTAGGATTACAATAATTTATCTGGCCTGAGAAACAAAGCGGAACTAAATGAAACAAATAAAGACCGAGGCTCAGGGGAAGAATAAAGAGCACAGACCTACAACAACAACAAAAAACACTTTCCGAAAGCTACGTTATTAGGTTGCTAATCGTTGTATTATCAAAGTTATTTTTGGCTGAAGGTATGTCCGTCCCCGCTCCCTCCCTCACAGCACCTGCGGCTTAACATCAGAAGGAGCTGCTTTACTGGCTCCATCAGCACTGCGGTGGAACAGCTCCCTTGGACGCCGAGTAGCCTGAAATAACACATTATTGTTCAGTTGCTATTGTTGGTAACTATCACGAGCAATATGTAACACAAGATATAATTATACCTGCATGTATATCTTAGAGAGTAGACGAAAGATTATGATTACAACAAATGAATACACACTAAGATAAAATAAGAGAACAAACAAAACTGACTCAATCCAGAGCTGTGGTTCAGGTCAAAATTGACTACGTACCAGATACCAAACAGCCGTGAGGCACTTACATCAATAAGGAAGAGTCCTGATTTCGTGGTTGGATTGCGGTAAGCATACACACACCATGCTGCCATACCAATGATCAACAATAGTACAATACAGATGCCAACAATGGCCCCAGCTCCTAGACCTCCATTGGATTTTTTGGATCCTAGACCTCCCATGGATTTTTGCTGTTGCTTTTCCTGTTCCGTACCTGCCACGCATCTCTCATCTGACGGCTGATATCAAAAAACAAATGAACACAACAGTAATTATACTCGAGGAAAGGAAAAAAAAACTTGACTTTCAGCACGTCCTTTAAGCAGCCAGCCCTCCCGGCGGCATTTTGCTAAGTTGCCCGGGGCCTGTTAGTCTTGATTGTTTTAGCGAATGATTTAGTTGGGGAAGGATAACCTGAGTAGTCTACTATGTTGGAAATTAAGCCCCGTATTGTCAGACAAACTTCAAATAAAGCGTTTTCAGCTCCCCTTTGTGTATGTTTTGTTGATATATCCGAGTTTTAGAGCTAAATAAGATATAGGAAGCAGTTTCTAGCGTTGCTAGGTGATCGCTCCTATTTTCCTTTTAATCAAGTTACTTACCGGGCAAGTCTAGGCAAGCCTATTGTTCCTATTGTAGTAGAGTGACGCTCATTAGTAAACCTATCCACTTCATCATATATGGAGGAAGGCACTTAATCAGTATGCAGAAAATCCAAATTAGTATGCGGGAAGGCAGTGACTAGGAACTTAATTAGTATGGAGGAAGGCACTTCTTTCCGAGGTGACGTCATAGACTAGGTACTTATGCATATCAATGATTTACCTATCCCTAAACTATCCTTACCTATCCACCAACGGGGCTTAATTTCCAACATAGTAGACTACTAGCCTGCCTGGATTTTTGCCCACTGGGAAGGTGAGGAGCTTTAAAAGTTACCCGCCCAGCACGAAAATCTACTCTTCCCGGACTAACGGTCGGAAGTTTTTCGAGTCCCGTAAGTATGTACAGGCTGTTTGCCATGTGGCCTTCAAGCCCGCTACGTATAGTGAAACCTGTCTTCAGTGCCGGCTCACTCTGTATTTAAGGGCAAACGTCTTTGTACAAGTCCCTCCGATAAACCAAAAACCAACGTGTACATGTAATTTAAAGAAAACACCTCTATTAAGACGACATACAAACGCACAAAACAGAATGGACAAACAAAATACAAAAATATACAAGGGAGGCTGTGTAGATGTCCGCCTATTACAGGCTAAGCTTCTAGAGGAAGGTATAAAACTTGTCACAAGGAAAACGGAGCTAAATGACGGTAGCAGGAAAAACTGTTTGACAGCATTTAGGTCGCAGTTTAACATGGTTTAACTCGTAACAGTCGTAATATCTCAATCTGTTTGTCGGCATTTTGGTGGCAGTGTAACAAGGTTTAACTAGTATTTATACCTGCTTGACGGCATTTTGACTGCACCTATTGAAGTCCCATTCTGCACGATTACGATCTGTTTTATCAGAGCACCTTCAAAATATTGCAAGATTATTGTAAGAACGTGGCCTGCATCTACACTGGACTTAGGGTTATTAAAGCCTAACAGTGACCATTGTAATTAACAATGTCAACTTAAACCACCAATAGAAATTAGTTTGACTGACAGACTGTTTAGAAGTCTTAGCTCATGTTTGTTATATCAAAAGGAAATAGTGAATGGTACTATGGACCACGTGATTTTAGTCCTGGTTCAGACGACGTGCATCATATGATCAGCCAAATAGGATTCAACTAAAAGAGCTGTGGACCGCCGGCGTTGATTCATTCGCCGAAATTCACATGAGCCAAACATAAATTCTTCTAATGTAGTTTACGAAAATGCACTTTTTCCCCGTTGTTCGTTGAAAATAAAGATCGTTGTTGATCGGCGTCTGAATTGATTCGGCTCATGTGAAATACAGCCTATGAACCGGGCCAGTTTCCCGCCAAAAAGGAGTTTTCCAAGGGATACATGGCCATGACCCAAGTTCACGTGACAGTCATGCTCTTGCAGCACATGCCTGCTGCTGCTAGTGAATACTTGCTATCCATTTCTTTACTCTTCCATAGGTTTGAGATGTGACACATCCATGCACGATAAAAACAAAAATGGTCTGCACTGTCAATCTCTGGGACTGTATTCTCTTCAGGTGAAACATCTTTTTAGTCGGCTCTGAATTAAAAATTTTAGCTTTCCAAAGACAATTTCTACCTTTTAGTCTGCGGGCACCACTGACAGTCAAATTCTGTTGTTTGCTTCCGCTTCATACACTCTGTACATGAGGTGGCATTAACACAGCCTGAAACGAAAATACAGTATAATGAAAACAATTACGTCACAGTTTACCCACACAGCATGGAACCCAAGTTTAAGCTGCAGGTTACTCACACAGTCTGAAAACCAAATTTTGTTCTCAAAATTAAAGCTCACAAGACTGGGTTGCAAAGAAAGCTTTAGATATAATCTTTATATTGGTCAGGAAATGGCTTACAAATTATATTTTACTTCTTGCATAAACAAATTAGGACTGCACTGTATCACTTATTATATGGGCACGTCTCAAAAGGACTGGAAACAAACAAACTCAAGAATTTGATTGGCTAAAATCGATCTTGACCGCGGTCTAGTTTTTCCCATCCAGACCGGCATCTAAACTGATCTTGTTGTAACAATTCTCCTCAAAAAGTTACGAACAAAGAATGTGAAAAGATTGTCTTGTTTGTACAAATTTTGTACAAAGCTGGACTTTGAACAGTTATTTTTGTTCCGCTTGAACTGGAGACCAGTGACAGAAGAAAGCCAGCTAAATGCTTGAGCCCGCGCAGGGAAGCAAATAAAATTATTCATGTTTTTGTTCCTTTGCTTTCTTGTTTGGCCATATAATAAACATCTTCTTAACCAAGCTAGGTCGGTCTGTATGGAAGAATCTTCACCTCGGTCGCTGGTACAGACCTCACTGTGTTCGGTCTGTACTGGTAACCTCCGTCAAGATTCTCCCAAAAAGACCTCACGCTCGGTTATTAACAGCTAAAAATTATTAGATTACAGTAATAAAACTTTTAAAAAGAACAAACTTGTTTGAGGGTGGAACACCACTGCTGATCCACTGACAACACTGTTCTTGGTAATATTCACTTGACTGTATATATGAAAGACTCGGTAGATGACTCCAGGCCTCCCTAAATGTCGGTAATATCTTACAAATGCATCAGATATGCCTACTCTCACAGGGTGGTATCGTACATCAGGAATGGTTGACACATCAACTGGGATCTGCAACATAGTCACCATGGTTATGTATCGGTCAAATCGAAGCTTCAACATCCCCCCCGGGCAAACCCCCGGGCATTTGACTTTTTGGAAAATTATTGTTCAAATTCCCCCCTACCTGGGGGATGTTGAAGCTTCGATTTGACCGATACATTAGCTATAACAAAACATTGATCAATTTTCACCACTCCTCAATTATTTGTTGACGTAACTATTTGACTTTCACAATCTGTTTCCAGTTATATAGGTGTGTTTATTTGCTGATTTAATAATAGTCAAACTGCAATGGTTTTTAATTCACTTCGGTTTAGTTACTTGTCTACAACATTTACACTGTATAATAGTAACGACAAGGAATAAAGTAACAAATAAGAGGGAAAAAAAAAGAAAACATTAACGGCTTTGATAGAAGTGTATGGTGGTCAGAGGAACCTAGCTTTCGAGCTAACCACCGTGATATTATGAATAGAAATACTTAATATGCGCGATAAGTAAATGTACCATGACAATTATGGACCCACAATAATGTGAATCAGTCATTACAGTCATAAAACATACAGTCAGCTCCCGATAATTGGAACCTTCAAGGGAAATAGTATTGAGGGTAAAATTATACAGAAAACTATCTGAATGGAAATGAAAATTGCTTCGAGTTAGTGGGAGGTTCAAGTTATAGAGGGTTTGAGTAACAGGGAGTTGACTGTAGTTAACTTTAACAGTTAAGCAGAATTGGCTTGTATTCAGTTTCTAGAGAATGACAACAACAGCTACAGCAAATGTCAAAAGAATGCATATGCCTTATGGCCAAATAACGGCATTAAAAAATCTGAGAAACTTCAAATAGTCTTTTATAGTAGGAAGGTCCATATGTGAAAGAAAAGATAAAATTATAGTCTTATGTTACATGTAAGTATGCATGAAATTTGTGCATTATGAGTCATTAACACACTCCCACAGGTCAATATTTCAAACGATGTGAGAAATTTTGAAAATAAATTGAATATTTTCATCTCATTATTAGCAGATTAAGAATAATCTTTTAAATTGGGTGCTTAATTCATGTTTTCACCTCACTGGGGTTCAGTTAAAGTCCTAATGTCTATAGGAGCTAGGCATTCAGCTATTTTTAAGGTTTACTTTTCTATTTTTCCCTTTCTATAATCGCTAAAAACAAAACTCAGGTTTAATTTGGACATCCATAAGCTTCAGAATGATGCAAGGAAACAGTAATTTTCCCTAATTTACTAAGACAACTGCTATGGAGGATGAGTCATAATTTACCTCTTTGTATGCGAACCATATTGTACCATTCTTATGTAAAGTGCACTGAAATGTGAAGTGTCCATCTTTAAAGAGTAGAAAAAGAAGAAAGAAACGATAAATATAATTATCTACAGGAAATTTGTGCTTCTGTAGTAAAATTTATTTCCTTTATGGACCAAGCTCTATGCTGTTGAGACACTGCTGAGATATAAATAAAAAGCTTGATTGCATGAATTTGTGTTAATTATTTTCTTGTTGCATTGGTGTATCTGTAAAACCTTGAGGGTGCAGTAAAATATTCACTTTCACAGACTTTTCTTCAGTCTTATTCCCCAGTGGAAGTGTACAACGTACATAATTACTTGCCAATTTTTACACTCCCCCCCTTCCACCCCAACATGACACGGACTAGAGTGAGTGAGTCCCTATATGGGTACAGGCTGCAGACATCACTTTCTTCAGGTGTTTTTCATTTGTCAGTTAATTTTTCAATAAACTTTTTACTTGCATATCAAGAATTGTTTTCCATGGCAACACTGATACGAGCCAGTGAACCCACAACAATGATGACAAGAGTTAGTAAATACAAAAAAAAATTAAACAGATTTAATAAATAGAACAAAAAATCTGGATACACATCACACTTTTTTGAAGGAAGAGAAAAATAAAAATTACCTGAAATAAAAAATAAACTACAACATATATGTTGATAATCACTGAATACATTAAAACACACACTGTAGTCTTGTGATTTGCCATTTACTCAGTAAGGATATTAGCAAGAACGAGACATCATGGATGCTTCGATCCGTGCAAAGGTGTCAATTGGTGGACTTGGGCCAATTTGCATTATCCAATGTTCATCAGAGCAAGAGCAGGAGACTCTTGCTCTTTAGTCATGGTTGCTGCCAACTACTTTTTAAGTCTGCGCAATGTGCAGAGCCATCGCTCAAGTTCTGCTGATCTAATTTGTAACGTACTTGAAATATGCAGCTTGAAAAGAATTCATGGCCAAGCTTTCAACTGCACTACTAGAAAGGTTTTTTTCTGCGTTGAGCCACTTGTGCTGCCGACAGAAAAGCTGCCACATGAAAATTAGGGGTGATGGTAGTCTAACAGACATTTCGGTCTCGCTTTCAGAGCCTGATACTGAGTAGCTTTTATGTAAGAAAAAGGCACTGCATCTTGCGATGAACTCATAATTGAATACTGTATGTTTTAGGCAGTTCGGCGTGGTGTTCGTGTTAAGTGTGCCAGTTTCAGACAATTTCCTCAGACTGATTTGCAAACATCAATGCTGATTTCATTCTACCTTCTCACTTTATGCCTCTACACGAGTTTGTATTAAACCCTCTCATAGTCAAACCATTACAACATACATCGATCACGCAAACGACCGAGACCAACAAGGTGCTGAATCCCACTTTGCAGGCTTGTATACACACTGGGGCCTCGTACAATGTATGATCATCCTCAGAGTATTCATATGTAACCCTCGAAATAGAATTTGATGCTTTTTTCAATTGATTTTTTTCTCATTTTCTTTAACAGCTAAAATCTTGTTCCTCTTGAAATTATAGCCCATGCTGTAACCCAAGGGGGGTTCTGGAACCCCTGGAAGTGTCCCTCCCTTGGCTATGCCACTGAACCTTGACCAAAGAATAGCATTATGCAATCACTTCTTGATTGTTGTTTTAAACCCTAAGATCTTTACATCAAGAGCAGAAGCGGATCTTGGGGCAGGGTGCAGGGGTGTGCCCCCCGAGATGACCTGCGGTTTTCTACAACTGGTATTCTGCAAAAAAAAAATTATGTGGAGAAGAGTGCACCCCCTCCTAAAAAAAATCCTGGATCCGCCCCTGAAGAGTGATCATTATCACTGAAATAAATACCCGGCATATAGAGGCTTCTTAGTGTCATTTAATCAAATTATCAAAATTTATCTCATGGTATAATGAGAATATCTCACCCGTATGCACACTAAGATTAATCAGATCACTTATGGGAAATGTCTGAATTCCTAACTGAAAGCACTGTATGATAATTATTATCAAAAAATTACTAGGTAATGTTTCATGCTTAATACTACCATGAGTTCTGTTACGAAGATAAACTTTTGACCACTGTACTGTCAGCTGTAAACCTAAAACAACAAAAGAAGGAATTTTGTTGGGAATTTTGAGCAAATAAAAAGTACATACAGATGTTTAAAAAAACATAACTTATGTAGCTAACTTGTTTATGCTGAAATTATTAACACTGGGGATCCAATTACAGTTAGAGACATCATTTTTCCAACCTCAGGTACATTCTATTAATAATATTCTCCACCAAGCAGCTGGTTTGTATAGAGTAATCTTGGCAACCAACTGCAACTAATATAAGTAATGTTTGAAAGAATTTCTCAGTTACCTTCTATTTATTAAAAAGAACTCAACTTCTCTGAGCAAAGTAGCTGATGCTTTTTACTAGCACTCAATAAAAGTGCTTGAGATACGAGTATAGAAGTACCAAAGTATGTACTCAATCAGGTACAAGATTAAAGCTAAAGTAAGTACCAGTATACATTTATCACAACATAAATATTTGATACCATCGTCAAGGGTGATGACTTTAGAATCTGGATGATGATCTGGACTGAAGTAAGCCATGAGAGGAGCTAAGTATTGCACGTCTGTCAGAAGAGATGTGTTATAAAAATCCATGTACAGGAAACCTTCAAGTAAGAACATTCACAGTCAAGTGTCAAGTGTAATTTACGTGCAAGAACTTCAATCATTAATCTCATTGTTTGCCCTGATCTAATCTAATCTAATCTAATCTAATCTAATCTAATCTAATCTAATCGTTTACCCGACTGGAGGACAAATGTAAGGAAATGTTCACTTTGTTTTCAAGGGCCCAAAATATTTAATTCCCTTAGTCCTGGAATTCAGAATGCCTCTAGTACTGCTTTGTTTAATTCTAAACTTAAGTCATTTTTTCTTGGTGTAAGCATACTTTTGTTCTCCTAATGCTTGTGTGTAGTTTTTCGCTTCTTTCGCTTTTTTTCTCATTTTTTCTTGCAGTATTTCTTTTCTCATTTTTGCACTTACAGTCATTCAGCCTTTTCTATTTTTATCCTATTTAATGATTATTTTCTATTTTCCAAACAAATTGTGTGTACTTAGAGCTAAATTGCCGATGTCAGTATTGTAATTATTAATTAGATGACAATTTTAAAAGGTGGTCCTATACACAAGCCTTATTGGCTTCCTTGGGCTCCGTTGCCTCATCTTTTTTTTTTTTAATTTAATATGTATATTTTGTGTTTTTTGGCAAAATGATAATAAAACAATAAAACAATTATTCATGTATAATTTGAATCAACTCACCTCCAGTTGTCAGCACCACACTATCAAGGTAGTGACCATAGTATGGAAAGATAAAGCTGAGCTTAAGTGTCTGTGAAAAGAACAATTTCACATTCAACTAGTGCATGTACATTTTGTAATCAAGGAAGAAAAAAGACTTATTCTGGTATTGAATGAGGAATGGGTTCCAGATGAAGGAATTGGGTTGTCAGCAAGCCATCTACTGCATGTAACTGCAGCTTCATGCTGCTTTTGCTCTCATCTTACAAAATTTATGTCATAAAAGTCATTTCAAATACTTACCGACTTTTTTAAGAAGGTCTGTGAAAGAACAGGGTGGACTTTGCTTTTAGGATTTTCCTCTATATTCCGCCAAAATTTTTGGCCACTGATGTATGTATGCGACACATAATACTTATGATTTACCTAAAATTAAATGGAGAAAGTCAAGATTTGATGAGTATCTGCATTCTATATATATCTTTATACATAATTGTAGTTCTACATAGATATTATCAATCATTGCTGATCCCGGGGGGGCACTTGGTTATTTTTTTTGGGTGGGTATGTTCCGCCCGGGACTCCAAATTGGCACCCCGTTCTAGAAAAAATTTCCCCTAAAATTGATACCCCGTTCTAGAAAATAGGCCAATTTTTTATACCCTGTTCTAGAATTCGCCCTAAAACTAACAGCCCGTTCTAGAAATGGGCCAATTTTTTATACTCCGTTCTAGGGTGTAACAAGAGTACAACGGTTTGCTTCTTAACGCACTGAACCGTATTTTAAAAGCAATCTGTCCTTTTGCTTTCAAATGGCTACTTACAAAAGTGGAGAGCTTTCGTGCGTTCGAAATATCATACCCCGTTCTAGAAACCGCGTCTGAAATGGATACCCCGTTCTAAACCAGGAGCTTCAAAATCACGACCCCTTTGGGCGGCACATACCCGTATAGGTAATGTAAGGGAGTACCCCCCCGGGTTGCTGATATGGTGAGATGTGCATAATACTCTGTCTTCAACATACTGTATTGAGGAGTCCCAAAATCATAGCTCTGTAGGCAGCACATACATTGTCCCTGTGTTTGTATTTAAAGGCTGAACTTCCACCAGGTTTTAAATTACCTATGTTTTATCAAGTTAATACTTCTATTAATTTTTTTTATAAGCCAGGTTTAATACATACATTTTTAAGGTCTCTACATAATGAATAAAATTAGTGAGGGTTTGAAAATACAAAAAACACTTATAAGAATATAGGAGGCAGTACATGCAGACAGTAATTTTGTTAGGCTAATATCACTGACAGTAAGAGTGACTTGAATAAAAGTCAATATCTCTGCATTTTTCATTAACTGATACTTGACCCATTTCAAAAAATTGAATTATGGATTACTGCATGTTTACAAATCTTACCTTAACATATGTGCAGTTAGTCACTTTGCAACTTGGTACATTTGAATCTGCATTTCTTTTAAACCGGTGATGATGAAACTTGTCAATAAACAATATGTTTTCTGATTTTCTCCCAGAGTACTGAACATGTTGTGAGAATCCATCATACTTAAATGCTGATAAATAATTGAATAAGCAAAGTTGTGCAGTTAATAACAACTAATGATTTACAAGGCTGTTAAAAAGTACTCTAGGAAAAATAAGTACAGAACAGGTCTGAGGAGTATCTAGAGAGTCAAGTACTGAAGAAATATGTGTAAAAAAAATTATTCAAAAATATTTCCCCGATTCTGATTGGCTAAGAGCACAAGTTTAATTCCCCATACCCAGTTACTGATGACCAAATTTGGACGAATTTTGTGTTTAATGAGGAAATGACATCAAAAATGCAGCCTTCTACAGGTTAATGAACCGTTAACCAATAACACCTTGGGACGAGGTTAAGTTGTTTTGGTTGTGAAAACAAAAATGGCCGACGATTCACTCATTTCAAGAGTAAGAACTACATCTGGAACTAGGCGAAGTAATAGTTAAAACCATAGCAAAAACAGCAAGAAGACAACTCGGAGTTTAACATCTGCTATTTGGAGAATATTTGTGGAGCTGGACAAACCTAAACGTACACTATCGAAGATGAACTGAACATCGATGCATCAATGGATTAAACTAGGAATTATTTTGAATGAATCTCGGAGGGTGTTATCCACCTCGGCCGATCTCCATAATTCTTCATAAGATACTCAGCCTCATTTATTAACTGTTAAATATTGATCAATAATTTTTTGTCACCCCAAAAAGTAGGCAACAAGGAGCCACCAAATAATACTATAGCAGCACAGCCTTGCAGAGTCAATGCTATCTGCATTCAGTGACAGACAATTACGGGTGTATTAAAGAAAAAATAATACGGAAAATGAATCTGTTCATACACTGTACTTAAAAAATTCCAAACAGCCAAATGCACGTCATTTAGCAAGTTTATACATGTCGATCTGCACTATTCACGTTTTGAACTGTTTGTGTAAGAAAACTGCCACCACGATGAGTATGTAGAGAAAATATTGTCAAAAAGAAAAGGAAACTTTCCCTCTGTTTTCTGTTTTTCTTTTTTTTGTTTGTTGATGAAATGATTTAAAATCAGGTATCACAGAAAAAATCCTAGCGTCACCCTTGATGAAGTTTGAGGAAACGCTCAGTCATAGTTGAAACAAAATGTTCAGAATTTTTCACCGCACTCAGATTAGAAAATTCAGATCAAGATCGCGTGTACTCACCTTTGCATTCCAGATAAAAACACGGGAGGAAAGCTCCGAAATACAGAAACACCACAAGGCACTTCATCATCAAGTTTAGGCACGTACTCAGTCAGCATCTACGGAAAGCAAACTGGCTATTGCAACCACGTCAGTTCTCTTAATAACAAACGCTGCTGCCAGCGCAACTGGAAAAACAAGCAAAATATTGATCAACTTCCACGGACAAGAGATATATTTATGCTGAAGCATGTATCGTCACGTTTCTAATTTTGTTTGAGCCTATATTATAATTGATATCATGCCTCAAAGGATAGACATATTTTGAACTCTATATTGTGCCATTCCTAACTTTAAGTTTTTTCATACGATTCACAGGTTTTGGTATCTACTAATTGCCTGACTCCGCATCGCCATAGAACTGGGAATGTACACTTACGGTTATGTACAGTTATGTAATAGCCGTAAACAACAATGACATAGCAGATTTGCTGACACAAGATAAGCGCTTATAAAGATCCTGTTTGCTAAGTTACGTTGTTACCAGGTTACTTTCACGCGATAGCTTGTAACCCAAATACTACATATCTAGGGAAAACATTTTGATTTGAAAGCAGACGGAAACTTACCAACTGGCAGATGGGATGAAAAAGGCTGTCACGGAAAAATTTTAAATAAGACCTGTTTAATATTGGCCTACGCAACACAAGTCCAGCGGAGTGTTAGCGGTGCATTGTACGTCATGTAACAAACATGTCATGTGCTGTAGCCACCATATTGGAAAACGAGAAGACACTGGGGACGAAGGCTGCGCCAAAAAAGTGATAGTATATTCAGCGGCGTTTTAAGCAAACATGTTTCATGTCATATAAAACCTACTATAATATAAATTACAATGATTTCCAAGATGGCGACAGCAGGTTTGCTTCGATTCATTGGTGTGTTGATGTTTTAGCCTTGATTTTGGTCATTTTTTCAATCTGTTGCCGATCTTGTTGTTTTCCATGATGTTTGTTCGATGAAGTAACAATACCCTGGCCAATACTAATATCTTTTCTTATTTACAAGATATTGGGGTGAATCTAACAGGTATTATAAATTTTGGATTTTTTTTTCAATAAAATACTAATAAGGTAAATTAGAAGCCGTTTTTCAGTAGGCAAGGATAAGAAAAGAAAGAACAACGCTATCTTTTACGCATGATTATTTTGCAGATTCAATGTTTAAAGGTATTTATCACGGGAAGAAGGCTCATGAAGGTTAGGTTTTGTAATGAACTTATGTACTGTTCTAGTAATTAAGAAAATCATGTTATTTTAAAAACTAATATTTTATATTTGGAAAAAAATGTAGATGACTTTGTAGAGGTTCTAAAGAGAGCAACTGATAAAGGTGTGCAAAAGGTAATGTGTGTATAATAATAATAATAATAATAATAATAATAATAATAAAAGTAATGGTAAAGGTGATGATGATAATGATGAAGATCGATAGAATGAAGGTAATGTGAGCTGCAGAAATACAAAAATTACATGAAGATATGATCGTCACAGTCCTCTTCAAAATTTTTAAGAGATAGCAAATCAAGCACCCCCCTTTCCCCCAATAATAATAATTAGGGATTTCCAGTGGGATTCGAATGGAACTCATGGTCTCTGCAATATCAAAATTTAAAAAACATGCAGTGCTCTACCAACTGAGCCATGGCGAACCTCCACATTGGGAGCAGGTCAGTTTGTTGAGTTCATCTTTACCTGTGAAAGGAATGAAACATTGAATGAAGATGGTGATGCGACCTCAGAAATACAAACTAAGGTAAATGAAGATAGTAATCATTGCAGTCGCAAGCTTCAAAAAGCATCACCCTCATTTTGTGTCATATTCTTTAAATATGGTTTCAAAAAGAACGTTTTGCTGAATAAATAGTTCTCCATCTCAATATGGACTTTCTGTCAGTATTCAGGTGAAGAGTTTACGCTAAGTGTATGGAAAAAACAAAATTTTAACATTTAAAAATTGACGACTAGCCTTTATCTTTTCTTGTCTACTGAATTGCACGCAAGATGGCGGCGCGGAAAGGCTCCGCGAGACACGAAGTTTTTCACGTTGTTCTTCTTGTTAGCCTGAGAAGTCTAACCAGCCCATATATAATAATTGTTATCAAGAGAGAATGAGCTCATTCTCTCTTGCTGTTATCCAACTCGATGGTAAATCTACAGGAAAGCCGTACCTCCGGATGTTTTACAAATCACAACCAGTTTTAACGCATTATTGTTCGTGGCAACCATAGCCTTATCTTGTTCTACAGCAACTCATGCGCTATTTTCCAACTAAGTAGGCTGAAATTACAAGGTTTAATCCATCCAAACCCTAGCCCCAGCGCGGATTCAACGTCCACTGCAAACTCTAGGACTTGTCGTCATGATACTGAAGCACAACTAAACATCAGTTGTCTTACATGAACGCACGACCAAACGCTCGGTCAACAAGACCGACGAACTATAAGTTCTCATAGTTCTTGCCACAAACGCGGATTTGCTGGCTATTACCGAGATATGGCTAACTGTGAATTTCCTCAGTTTACGCCGCCATCAAATAAAAGCATCAAGAACGTCCTGTCATCCCTCTCAAACAAGACCTGCTCCCTCGATCCGATCCCGACGCATATTATTAAAGATAACATAAGTTCTGTACTAGCTATAGTCAGCGGAATTGTGAGACAATCGTTCTCAAATGGGATCTTCCAACCTCATTAAAAACATCGCTGGTTCGTCCAAAATTGAAAAAACCTGATCTTAAACCTGATTTATTGGCTAATTACAGACCTATAGCTAACATACCATTCCTCTGCAAGGTATTAGAAAAATCAGCTGCCATCCAAGTTCACAACTACTTGAATGACAATGACCTGTTTCCTTCCTTACAGTCTGCTTATAGGAAATATCACTCAACAGAGACTGCGATACTTAGAGTTACCGATGACACCCTAAAGACTCTTGACACCAACGGTGAAGTAATACTTGTGCTACTTGACCTGTCCGCAGCATTCGACGCCCTCGATCACCAAATTCTCCTCGCGAGGCTAAGGAAATATTTTAATTTCACAGAAACAGCTCTAAAATGGTTCTCCTCTTACTTGCTTGGCCGATCTCAGCGAGTTTCTATAGCGGATGCAACATCTCCGCAACGATGTTTAGAATATGGCGTTCCCCAGGGCTCAATACTCGGGCCGCTGCTGTTCACTCTTTATATGGCACCTCTCCAAGATGTTATACGTCGCCACGGTCTCGACTCCATGTTCTATGCGGACGACATCCAAATTTACATCATCATTGACGATCCTAAACAATCCGTTGACTCTGTCGGTGTTTCAAAGGGATGCATCAATGATGTTTTTGCGTAGAACACTAAGAATATGTTAAAGTGCAACCCTGGAAAAACTGAAATATTACATTTCACTTCGCGTTTCAGCAAGCAACCTACAGTTTACGAAACATTGTCATTAGCTAACACCTCAGTAGAAGTGAAAACAAAGCCAAGAATTTGGGTGTCATCATAGATAAAACCTTGTCTTTCACTGAACATATCAACGAAATGTGCAAGAAAGCCAGTTATGCCATAAGATCAATTGGTCGTATTCGAAAGTACCTTCCTTCCGGTGGATTGAAAATGTTAGTGAATTCCCTTCTGATTTCCATGCTCGACTATTGCAATAGTCTCTTATATGACATCCGAAAATACCAGAGAGATAAGTTACAAAGAATTCAGAATACCGCAGCTCGAATGATAACAGGAGCCCGCAGCTCTGACCACATTACACCTTTATTAAAGAGCCTGCACTGGCTACCTGTGGAAGCAAGGATTCATTTTAAGATTCTTTTTATCACATATAAGATCTTAAATGGACAATCTGCTGGATATCTGGAACCTCTGATTATGGATTATCATCCATCAAGAGCTCTACGATCGTCATCCTGTTCGCTATTATGCACCCCAGCCATAAAATCCAAAACATATGGAGGACGCGCGTTTTCCACTGCAGCACCTCAATTATGGAACACTACCCCAGAATATATAAAAAATGCGGACAGTGTTACAACATTTAAAACAAAACTTAAAACATTTCTATTCAGGAAATGTTTCAATTGATTCTCATGCTTAACATTTTAGGATTTTTAAGTTTTACAAGTTGGTTTTTTAAAGTTTTTACAAACATAACATTTTAGGAATTTTTTTTTTTAAGTTTTACAATACTTGATGTATAATGTTACAATTGATTTTCATGCTTAACGTTTTAGGATTTTTAAAGTTTTACAATTAGGATTTTTAAAGTTTTACAATACTTGATGTATAATGTCACAATAATGTTAATTTTAAAATTGCAAGATGTCGGAATTTCCAGTGACACTCTCCAATGGTTTCGTAGTTACCTAAGCAACAGGTCACAAGTAGTACGAATCTATTCAACGCTATCTGAGCCTTTGTCTGTGACCAGTGGCGTTCCTCAAGGAAGCATCTTGGGCCCACTTCTTTTTAGCATATATACGAACGATCTTCCATTGATCCCACAGAAATGCAGCACCCAGAGTTATGTAGATGATACGAAACTCATCACTTCCTTCGAGCTTAAAGCCAACCTGGATGCAATTGCTGATTTGGAAGACGACCTGTTTAAAATAGGGGAATGGTGTTCCAACACCATTCCCACCTTGGCCAGATAAACCGTGTCAAGCATGTCTTCGACAAACGTACACTTTTGATGATTATTAATTCCTTAGTTTTTAGCAGGTTATTTTATTGCTCCAATGTTTGGTCAAATACCTCAAAATGTAATGTCAACAAGTTACAGGCAGTGCAGAACTTCGCATGCCGCATTGTTAGCGGCGCGCGTAAATTTGACCATGTTACACCAATTCGCAAGGAGCTAAATTGGCTTTCAGTTCCCAGACAGCTTTATTACCGGAACGCTACAATGGCTTTTAAATGTATGACCGGTCAAGCCCCTGAATACCTTACATCAAAATTCATAAAGCGAGCAGAGGTTAGCCGACGTAGCACCAGAAATTCACAGCTTTTACAAATTCCCTTTTTCAGAACAGCTGCCGGTCAGAGAACATTTTTCTATAGAACTGTGAACTTATGGAACTCCTTAGACAATTCCTTTAAACTGTGTAACTCGATTGATGTTTTTAAAACTCGTTTACGTACTAAATTACTTAAAGAATTGTAATTTTATATATATTTTAAAACATTTTTAATTGTAAATAGGATCATGTATTGTCTTTGAAAAGCCCCTTGGGAAAGTCAATAAAGTATGTATGTATGTATGTAGGCTAGAAATGTAATGATCTTCAATCGGCTTTCGTAATGTAAAGCGCATTGAGGATAGAAATGAGCTTAATAAGAATCTATATTATTATTATTATTATTATTATTATTATTATTAACTACGGAAGTTAATTAACAGTTGCGAGATTCTGCCCAACATAGACTTTGCCATTAATAGGAGAGATTTTTGACCAGCGCCCCGTGCAGGAGGTGTCCTTTTAGCAGTCCGTAATACTATTCCAAGCCCTAAAAGACCTGATATGGAAACTTCGGCTGAAATTCTTGTGTGTCGGAAGCTTCGTCCATCGTGTAAGAAAAAGATCTTAATGGTAGTATTCTACCGCCCTCTATCCTCTGACTGTTGGTACTTGACTGAGTTTACAAAATATCTTCGCCAAGGTTCCAGGGAGAAATTGGATCAACTCTTCATTGTTGGTGGTTTTAACCTACCAAATATTGACTGGTCCATTAGGATCTCTTCCACCGATAGCGACACTTATAACCTCTTCACCAAGTCAATCAAGGATCACTTTGTCTGGCAAGTTGTCGATTTTCCAACGCAACAGGAGAATTTATTGGATTTGGTGCTCACAAACATTCCCGATAAGATTGTTAACATCCTAGGATTTTACGATATTTTGGAGTCAGACCATTAACTCATCAAATTTTGCATTGACGTGCGAATCGCAAGAAATCCCCAAGTCAAACGACAAGTATGTATTCCTATTCCTTTGTATTCCTAGAAAGCTGGCTGGTCAGGCCTCAAAAGTGAACTCAGTTTAATTGACTGGGAATTACGTTTTGTGGAAAACGATATAAACGCTTCGCTTCCCAACCTGTCTCATGTATTTCTCACGGCTGTCAACCTACACATTCCAAAAAGCAAAGTGCGAAATGTAAATGAGTATCCCTGGATCGATCAGGAATTTCTTTAATTAATTAAAGTCAAAAACAAAGTGAGAACTGCAGTAAAAAAGTGGAAGCGCGATGACCAAAAGAAGTTCAGACAAATAAGACGCGAGGCTAAAGCACTTATCAAGATCAAGAAAAGCACTATTCCACCAAAATTAGAGAATCTCTTCTTAATAACTCTAAACGCTTGTGGTCCTTCGTCAAATCTATGACAAAACAGAATCGCGCACCTACCTTTCTGAGAGGCGGCCAACATTTTGTATCTAACCACTAAAACAAAGCACACTTTTTGGCACAATTGATTCCCCCTGGAGACTGCTGCTCCGACCACTCAAGCGAACTTATTTTATCATCATACAGAGGTGGCAAAAGTTTTGAATAACATCGATCCAGCCAAAGCGCCTGGTCCGGACAACATTTCAGGTCGATTGCTAAAGGAAACGGCGCCCGAAATTTCCGTTTCTCTCTGCCGTCTCTTCAACCTTTCGCTGTCACTGGGTGAATTCCCAGATCAGTGGAAACCGGAACATGTTTGTCCTGTTTTCAAAAAAGATGACCCAGCGCTAGCCAAAAACTATCGTCAAATTTCTTCATTATCTATCTCGTCCAAAAGCTTTGAAAGGTGTGTTTTCAATCATTGTTATCTGCACATTTTGCCTCGGCTATGTCACCTGCAACACGGATTTCTCAGTGGAAGGTCCACTGTCACTCAGCTTGTTCAAGTCAATCACGAAGTCATGGTTTATTTAGACTTTGCTAAAGCGTTCGACAAAGTCCCCCCACTCAACCGTGATCAACAAGTTGTCTCGCTTTTGTATATCAGGCCAGTAGAGACAATGGTTCCAGAGCTATCTCTCCAACAGATCTCAGAGAGTAGCGCTACAGGGTACCTGTTCCAACTTGCTTCAACTTACTTCTGGAGTAGCTCAAGGCTCCCTATTGGGCCCTTTACTCTTTCTAGCCTACATCGACAATATTCCACGATGCACCCAACATCACTATAAAATAGCAATTTCGCTGACGACTCCAAATTATACACGATCATTTCGAAGTTCTGATATAAGATCTCTCTTAAGAAACTTCTCTCCAACTGGAGTCACATCTGGACAATGAGCCTCAGCGTGCCAAAGTGCCAAGGCCCTAAACATCTCCTGGAAAAAATCACCGTCATACAAAGAATACCACCTAGATGGGACCCTACTAACCACAGCTAGCGAAACCAGCGACTAGGGCATAACCATTCCGGACAACCTTCCGTGGTCTTAACACGTAAATCAGACCTCCTTGAGAGCAAAACCATACTCTTGGCCTTATTCGCCGAATCTGCAGAGACATCAGTAACACTGACACTAGGAAACTTTTATACTGTTCAATTCTTCGACCCAAATTGGAATCCGCTAGTGAAATTTGGTCCCCTTACACTTGTAAGGACAAACTTCTTTTAGAAAGTTTGAAGCGCAGAGCTACGAAGTTTATTTTGAATTATCCGAAGGACATAAATTATAAGGATCGGTTACTCAAACTTGACCTATTGCCAATGGAGAATAGAAGGGATTTGAAAAACCTGGTCCTTATTTTTAAAGCCAAAGCAGGGCATGTAGATCTCGGCCATCAAGATTTTTCCGGCAAACGGAAATACGCACCCGCACGCGCAATGCATGCAAATTTAACTACCATATACCTTATGCAAACAAAAACTATTTAAAACACTCCTTTTAGTATAGATCGATAGCTAGCTGAGGGATTAGCCGATTACGCTACTACCACAAAGGGTAGTTCGAAATATCAAAAATAGTTAGGAAATGATGCACTAGTTTTGGCCAAGATTGGGCGAGCAAGTTCGTGACTGTTAGGCTTGTTTCGGCTATTTCACGAACTGAGACCGGACTACTTCGCGATATCTTGAGATCACTTCGAGTTTAGTCTTTAATTTACTCGAGGAATAAATAGAGGATATTACGTGGCCACGCGGAGACACGAAATTCCTCTTCGAGTGTTGAAAAACATTTCAAGAGTGATACCTCCTTCGAACTGTTTTATGATGAATTTAACGTTACAAAAGGCTGCACAAAGACATATTGTCTTTGTTGAGTGTTACGTAGTAAAATTGCTTCCATGCGTTGCGTGACTTTCTCGAACGTTCTCTACGTTTTTGGATTATTCATGAAAAATTAATTAGGGCATGTTTACATTTCAGCATGAGTCAGCAGATTTGCATCCGTTACTGAAATCATAAAATATGTCGAAAAGCTACTACTATTCGCCTGTTTAGTATTTTCTAGAACCTTAAGTTAAACGGTATACAAGTTCCAAGCGAGTTCTTTTGACGAAGTAAGTTTTTTTCCACGAGCTGGACTGCTGTGTTTAGTCAAGTATGACGAAGGTCGATTTTCAAGTTCTGTGTAAAGGCTATGTTTCTTTGCTATTAAACTTCCTTGAGTTAATCCGACATCTTTGCGTGCTGATAGTCAGTGAATAATTATCCTCAAAACATTCGAACTGGTAACACTGAGTTTTAGCCAATTCCATGCTCAACGTAATTGACTCCTTACCCATGCCTTGCATTTCTTTAATCAGTACATGAGACTGCCATTCTGTTTTTGAAGCCTGATGTGACTGAGAAAAATAGAGAATTCTTTTTTCACTGTTTGTTTTGTTAGACTTGTTATTCACCGCCAGTAACCTCATATTTGACCTAGGTGTAAACGTTAAGACCCAAGTCAAATTTAGACGGATTTGTATGGAGTCATCAGAGCATAACTGGGCTAGTATCTCAGAGACAATTTGTCCCGAAATGCTAGTTTTTGGAAAGTAGGCCTCTTGGATGTTGTTTTTTTTCAGAATATCCTGACAAATCCCATAATTTCACAAATTAATACCTTACTCTTACCATATTTCATTTCTTACTATTCCTCCGCATTTACCACGACGCCGAAGTGTACGCTTCGTAGCGTCTTGTTTCATTTGGTTCTTGGGGCAAGATATCAATTGGGACATTGTGCTGTCTCCTGCCCCAGTTGCAATATTTATTTATTTATTTATTTTACTTTTTTTCTCTATTTAACGTATTTTATATTTTTTGTGTACATATTAATTGATAACATGCAACGAATTCAATAAAGTTTAAGTTAAAGTACTACACTGTGGACTTCGACACGATGTCATCCGAAAGTTTTTTACTTTCAGAAAAAAGGGAGGCTTATTACAGCATATATTTGGCTTGAATAAGCTTAAATTGCTTCTGGATAATATAGCACTTTATATGAACAGGAGAAAGAGTTTAAAAGAGGTCAAAAGCTCAGGCATTTTTAATTTTTTCCTTTCAGGTTTTGTTTTCTAAACTAGCTACATTAATGCAATAGTGCTTGCTTTTATGTGGCTGAATCCGCAAGCGGGCAAAATAAAACTAATTCTTTGTTGTGATTGACTGCATTGGCGTGCAAGATATGGGCTTATATTTCCAGCGTTGATCTTAGAAGAAAAAAGTTGTCTTGGCCACCACATAATCCTTAATTTACAAAGCTTGTTCGGTCAAGATGGATGAATATTAATCTTGTTCGTTTTTGTGTTGTTATGATCTCAACCGCTTCACCTCGGTCCATGAAAACTTGAAAAAGAACTTGGCTAATATCCAGCCATGCTGACTGACCTAACCCTTGGTCAGTAATGCATATTTCCTTTCTAAATAACAACTATTGAATATTCACTCCCGAGATGACTAATGACTTCTTTTCTCTTAAGGTGATTGTTTTCATTACTTTGGAATGACGGCAAAATGGTTGTCTGAATATGAATTTTGTTTGTCGAAATTTTAAAAAGGCTTTGCAAAGTAGTATTTTTTGTCTGAACATTTTGCTCCTGGCACTTATCAACATCACAAGAATGAAACTTCTCTTTAGGTATGAACCTAAAACAACCTCAAGTAGGACGGGAAGTGTATAGTTTGTATCCGCTACTTAAAGAGCGGATGTAAATAATACGTCTGTTAAAACTTCCTGTTACTCGTTAAGTAAAAAATCAGACAGGTTCGTAGCAAATAAGCTTTGGTTTACATCAGCTATTATCGTAAAAGTTGTTTGAAAAAAATCCACATCGTTGTTCAGTAGAAAAACTTACTTAATGAGAAAACATAATCAGTTGCTGAAAACAAAATTTTGCAAAATATAAGAATAAGGCAATACGGAATGTTAACAACAAAGAACAGTCATGGACTCATGCGCTCAGTGAGGAAGCATACAACGAGTGTATTTTTATAAGAGGATAATAATCCTGTTCCAGTGGCAAGTATAAACATCACTGGAGCCACCAAGCTACAAAGAGATTGTAGGGCAGGGAACTCGAATGCTAGCCACTCTAGGGCTTGAAATCGAAAAACGTCAGCTGTTTTGAGATCTGTTGGTGTATAACTTTCAAATGCGGAAAATATCTTAAATACCTAACAATGTCACGCCCAAGCTATCCTTTTGCATATAAACAGTCCTATCAGTTAGAACAGGGAAAGCACAGGAAAGCAGTTCACGATTACACATCCCTGAGAAACATGGCGGCATCATCCGGTACGTGTCCTTCTTTTCCAGCGTCCTTTGGCATTACTTCACAAGTTTTTCAAGACGCTTTTGATGACCGTCGTGACGGAACCTATCGATTAAAGCCGGGCTGGTCATTGGCCTTTACTCATGCAGTTTTAACAACCGGTGATCGTGCAACAACTATCGCAACGCCAGTGCAAACTGGAAGCGCTGGTGAACTGTGGAAAAAGTGCACGGGTAATTCTGTCACCGACGAGAAGTGTTGTGTTTACAACTGCCCAAACCAACGCTGTACACCAAGCAGTCCACAACCCGCCCGCGCCACAGCTCATGTCTACTGTACGTCCCAGAAGCCACAACATGATATTTCTTTTATGATACTTATCCCAACATGCGGTTGTTGTAATCATGCTGGGCAAGCTGCCAAGAGCGAGACAAATTACCCACCAACTGGTCAAGAGGCGTATAGATTGTACACGGTAACTGGCGCCCGGATGATCTTCATCAAAGTCAGCGGCCAAACAGTTGCTAATAAAGGTTCGGGAAAGGGGACTGGACAGGGTGGAGGATACAAAGGTGACTACCCTCCCGGACCTCCTAATGGAGCCAACATAGTCCGTTAAATGCCGGAATAGAGTTGTATAAAGGGATGGATCAGCGCTACCCGCTGATTGTGTAACCGATTGAAACAGAAAGCATCTAAATTTAGTCTAATTAGAAGAGGACGTTTATTGGCAATATTCTGAGTCATAAATTGAAGATCAAAAGCCACATTAACCCTACGTAAATTTAGACTGTTCAGTGTTAAAACAACCATTGGAGGGAAACTGCCCATTCAATGTGATGATGTTTCTTGTAAGGAATAAAATACCAAAAGTAGTGTAAGAAGCCATGGTTGTTGTTGTTATTACGAGTACTTGGGAAGTATAAATTTCTTTTGAGCACCAGTCGTTAAGCGTAGAAACACGGTAATGATTTTTAAAAGTTCAAAACTTGCTTGAACCACAGCGTGCCCCAGAATCTAAGCACCTATTGCTGAAAAAAATGACGGCCTGTGGAAGCAGGTTGAAAACTAGTTTAGATAATCGAGGGTATCAGCCTAAGCTGTTGAAATCTCTCCTCTTTCGTTGGTTTTATTTCGGTCACGATATCGTTCTTAATGCAAATTCGCTTTGGTTTTACAACTCCTCGTTGCTAGGAATGACGGCGGATAAACACAAGGACAAATTTTCCGCATCGTTTCGTTCCAGTTCACGGGTAGCTTTTAACCTATAACCAAGCTTTGTCATGGTTGGTGCGCAAACCTTTCCTCTCCTCTCCACCCTTGTAAACTTGATTATTCTGGTGGTTTTTCGATGTGAACTTTTTTTTTGGTTTTGCTAAAATGTCTTGATTGTAAGTTTTCGATTCTTTGTCTGGAACCTTATATTAACACTTCAATCACATTTGTTCTCTTTGTCAAGCAGCCAGTCATTGTTTTCCCTCCTGTCTAAGACCGCTATTTACAGGTTTAGGGTTACGAGTTCTGGTTTCCATTACGGGTTGTGGATCAAACATGGCTGGTCACTGTATCAACGTCGATTGTAACTATATGTCTGCTGCGTTACGAGATGGACATTGTTTAACAATCAAGTATTCTGCGTAGCAGGCAGTAGGAAGGACGCATCCTTTCTTGCGCCCCGTACTAATCAAGCGCCTGCTACTCAGGCTAACAGTCAAGCGAGTAGATAGTCTCCTACCATGAGCAATGTTCTACCCTGATGCATTACCATTTCTGTTCATAATCTACGAAATATGGTAAATTATGTACTTAACAAATTCCTTCTCTCTCCTCCAGATGATTATCACAGCAGGAAATTTATCTGAAAGTCAAAATGCTTTAGAACTTGCCAGAACAAATGGTAGCTATTTTTTATTACTCTCTCAAAGTTTTCTCTTTGCTGTCGTGCGCTGTCTTCATGATCTCTTGCCTCCTTTATTTCTTTTTCGTGTAGCATCTTTTCACTGCACTGTTGGTTGCCACCCGACACGTTGTAGTGAATTTGAACAAGATGGACTGGATCCAAGTGATTATCTTCATCAACTGATTACTATCGCTCAGGACAATAAAGGAAAAGTGGTAGCTGTTGGTGAATGTGGTTTAGGTAAGGGATCACCAAAGTAGATTTTTTTCAGGATATGCACAGTGCCAGGGTGCGACCCAGTTAACGTGAACCTAAACCCTAACCCAGTTGTAACAGCAGCGACCAAACCTCCTGTGATCGAGCACCGATCTCTAATGTGGAGAATCACATATGATCGCTTGGTGACAGAGGACTATAGAGAGTTAGCTTGCCTTCAAACTCATTAATATGTACGATTTGGGTGCCAAGAATCAGTAAAGGGGAACTAGAACCATTTGTTGGACAATGACAGCAACAGGAAATAGAACTTGCATAATTACGTTACGACTCAGCGTTTTGAACTCACAGGCGGGTTAGCGCTTATTTCGTCGACAACTTAAATGAACCAATAAAGACATTCATCGACCTAGGAATAACTAGAAAACCTGTCCAACGTGTTAATCCACAGCATTTAAGAACAAAAGCAAAAATTAAAGCAAGAATATATGATATCATCGACACTAATGTATTTCAAGATAACAATTTCTCAAAAATGAGGCCTTGTTGGTACTCTCAGAAGCATATTATATGCTTCTGGTGCGCTCCACACTACTACCAGTAGATATTATAATTTTATAACTTGATGACAGAAATGTGATGGTGAATTTTAAGTCTAGTGAATAGTTGAGAAAGATGTTTTTCAGCCAGTGACGGAGGCAGTTCGGAAGAAACCTAGTTTATTGGTCTTAGCTCCCACGAGTCTCCTGTGGCTCAATGGTTGAGCATCTGGACTGAGTAACCAAACGGTGATAGGTTCGACTCCAGTACTCAAATTTTTCCTTTCGAGCCGACTGTTTGAATGACTGGAAACATCTCTCTCATATGTAATGTAAGTAGCATAATTATAACATTGAAGTAGTATTACTATTTCAAAGAAGGTAATTTAGCTTGCTAGTAAGCTTCTTTTAATTTTATTAAATTCAGCTTTAGAGTGAGCCGGAGAGGATACAAACAAAGAATATCAATGAAAAGGTTTTTACAACTTTGTCATTGATAAAATGGTGCTTTTACAGTTGTCAGCTTTGTGCCATTGGGACACCTCGGTACTTCCTGTGTATATATCATATATAAAACAACTCTGCAAACAGCCACGCAATAAGCCGTCTCTTATATACCGAGATAAGCAAAGTTAACATAAATAGTTTCTGCTACCTTGTCAAAAGGTTTAAAGTAAGCGCGAAGTATACGTCGCTACTATGGAAACCCAGTTTTGAAGTCAACTCTTTTGTTCTTTTTTGTTTGTCAGATTATGACCGTACTCATTTTTGTCCAAAGGAAATTCAGTTAAAGTATGTAAAGTCCACTGTCTTGGTAACCACTGTGCTTCATAACTACTTGTATCAGTAGAGCCTGTGTTTCAAGTTCATTTCCTTATCTCAAAAAGGGCTTATATGATTTTTTGTGTTAGCTGGTTCGTCCTCACAATAGTTAAAAGTATCAACCAGATAATCTTTCTCAAACTGATGAAAACTGAAATAATCATATGTAGCTTTCCTTGCGAGTCCCAGGTTATCTAATGTTCCATACCGGTAACGCGGAGGTCACGGGTTCGAATCCCGTTGAAGCTTTGATTTTTTCAGGCTTCTTCTTTCCAATTGCTTAAATTGGAAAATTCACTGCGATGATCATTCTTTACTTTCGTTCCATGCGGTGTTTGAAGAAGGCATACTTTGCCTGTATATGTATCTTTAATTGCTTTTTTTCTTTTTGCTTTGCATTTTAGATATTTTGAGAAACAGTTTCAATTAGCTGAAGAAACTAAACTGCCAATGTTTTTACATTCGAGAAGTGCACATCAAGATTTCATCGGTAAGTTTTAAATCTACAAAGAGGGAATAATGCAGCCGCAACTCAGCGAGCCGCCTTCCTTTTTTAGATCCATATGCTCTTTCGAAATAAGCCCGCATTCAATGCGACTGAAGTTGAGTTTGGTTAATCAGCAAAACTGAAAAATATCTCTATAAAATTCAAATTTCACAACATAATATTTGTAACGTAAGCTTAATTCTACGACATTATTGTAAGTGGGTTATGACGCATATAAACTATCAGCATGCAGTGAAATGGAACCGTCAGCCTCTTCCCGGAGGTTTTAACTTACATCTTGGACCACCGATGCGTCTAGTGATGCCTGGGTGTAAGCTTTCAAGATGGCAATTACACTTAATGTAGAAGGTCTTGCCAGGAAATACTAAAAATATGTATTTTAGAATAACTTATAATATATAACTTTTAATTTCATCCTTTGCATTTGTATGATAAGAATATGTGAAAACTTCAAGTGTTAAATTACACCTTGCCATAATTTTGGACATGTCAAATTCGGATGAAGTAATAAAGTTCAGTTGCATTAAGGATCCCATGAAATATTTTCTTTACTTTTAGTGTATTTGGAAAGATACAGATGTCGCTGCAGAAACCGTTTAAAATTAAGTTTACACTATGAGGAGTTTTTCTAGATTTACTACAGATTTATTAGGTTATACAGAATCCCAAGCGTATACACACATCATTTAATCCGACAGTATTAAATTCGGATACAAAATATTTACTTTAAGCCCCGTGCAAACGGACGCAACATTGTTGGCTAACAAACTCCCAACAATGCTGCTTGCATGTTGTGTCTGTTTGTACGCCCTGTTGCATGTTGCTGCGTGTTGTTGGGAGTTGTTGCGCAAAGTTTGAAACCGATCAAACTTTTAGATACGTCCAAACGGACGCAACAACTCCCAACAATGTTGCGTCTGTTTGCACGGGACTTATGATTTCGCCGGCGATATCGAAATCTGGGGCTTTCTGCAAAACGAACCCGCTACAAAAATGCTCTGAATTATGTTAAACCTAGCCAAATAAGTTGTTGTTGTTTGGAGAATTTAAACGTCAATATTTTTTTCTCAAGTTTAGTTTACCTTTGGCGTGTCATCAAATAATCTACTATTTCATTAGTGCGATGTATCTTATTTCTTTTTTATGATTTTATTAGATATAATAAGACGAAATAGGGACAGATTTGTTGGAGGAGTGGTGAGTTGGCATTCTTCACCAGCGATACAATACACTATCCTACAACTAAAGAAAGCGCCCAAGGATTGTTAGTGAAGTAAAAAGAACAAAAACAAATTTCGATAGGCTAAAAAGGAAGGACAACAATGGAATTGTGGGAAAAGACAGAGAAGAGGAAGGGAAAGGACTTCATAGAAATGTTCATGTTTCGAGTCTTGATGCATAATTGCCTTTATCTTCATTACCATGCACAACTTGCTCAGAGAATGAATGAATGAATGAACGAATGAACGAACGAACGAACGAACAGGAAAAAAGAGTAATACCTGTCTGCAGTTGAAAATGACTGCGCCAAGGAAAAAAGTAATAGTTATTAATTTTCGGTGATAGAAGATTAAACTAAGGCAAAGACCCATGACGTCGATGACGTTCTTGACGCATAATAATGTCATGCACTCTTTACTTCAAACGTGGTGTGAGTTATGTCCAATGACCCTGTTATTTAATTTTAAGGCTCACTGTTTCACCGGCACAAAGGAAGAGGCAGCTGATTATTTGGATCAAGGTTTATACATCGGTATCACAGGATGGTAAGTCAGACGCAGTTTTCAACCACTACAGGATGACGACATTGTGCTTAACTTTAGGCTAGGGTGTAAACGGTAAAGCTTATTCCACGTCAACTTCATTTTCTTGGATTACTAGTTTACATTTTAAGCCACGTGGTCTATTGAAGCAGGGTTCACCTATCCCTGTTTGTACGCTTTGGTTTGCTCGCTAAGTTCCGTTTTAAGCTGAGCTGCTTATGCTCAGTCCAGCTATGTATATATGTCCTTGTATGATTTTGCTGGTCAGCGGATAAAATCAGGTGCGGTGAAAAAAACTCTAAAAAAAAGGCGTAGTTGGACGCGGGATCTCTGATGGCTCCTTGTTCACGTACCTTATCAGGTTGCATTTTCAGTTTCTTGAATGTGGGTGTAAAACGTGAAGGGCGTTGATTTATATCACATCACAAGTGCTCTGTTTCCAAGATCATTTTTGTCTTTTAGTTCGCTGAAAACTGAAGAAAACATTGAGGCCATGAAATCAATTCCTACCGATAGATTATTACTTGAAACAGGTATGGTTTTCGTAGAAAGGATTTTCTTTATTTATTTGTCGTGCTAGCTAGTCCAGCCAAACTTTTTGTTGCAGTTAGTCAATAATGTTTATATTTGTGTTTGCACTGAGCTCTGTGTTGGGCGGTTGCCCTTCCAGTTAATGGCTAGTATCTCCAAACTAAGGTTTCATGAGACAGGCACCTGACAGACAGATTTTAACGTATTTTTAGCGTGTATACATCTATCTTTTTCATTAATATCATTATTTCGTGTTCAGATGCGCCATGGTGTGATGTACGTCCTACCCACGCCGGTTTTAAGCACATCAAAACAAAGTTTGAAACCAAAAAGAAAGAAAAATGGGAGAAGGGACTCTGCGTCAAGGGACGAAATGAGCCCGCCAACATTGTGTAAGTACAGCAGGAACTCACTACTTTCTGTTATATAAAGTCATTAGAGTCATCATTCCCGGAGACTTAGAGGCAGTCAGTTGGGTCGAGAGAAAAGGCCTGAAGGAAGTTTTAAAGCGTGGGAGCTCCGGGGACGTCAGTAGAGTTATTAGGCTTTTCAAAGAAAATGGGAGTCAGGGAACGAGCCCGCTGACTTGTGATCCTAACGATTGTGAAATGCATAAAGATGTTAAGTTACTATTGAAGAAACTGTTGTTTTTTGTGGTTTGTTTGTTTTATAGTCAAGTCTTTGAAGTTGTTGCGGGATGCCGTGGAGAAGATGTGGAAAGCCTAGCTCAAAGTGTTTACGAAAATACCTTAAATTTGTTTTTCAGCTAGCAGATAGTCTTGTTATACTGTTTTCCACTAGCATCTGATCCCACTGATACTTTGATCCCCAAAGGACAAAAATTTTCAGAAAAACGCATATTAGGTTACGAGTGATCAATACTGCCTGCCTTATTCGATCGCGCCCATCTTGGCTCCAAGAGAGAGACTAACGGCGCTTACAATTTATCAGAGCTGGCTGGCCTTACCAGTTTAGTCGTAAGGAGAATTCCACTATTGATCAGGAACTATTCAGCCAGATCAGTTTATTTGTAAATGGTATATTTATGCACGGATGTGATGAGTTTTCAGTAAAAAATTTCCAGAAAAGACTAATATTTCATTTTCAAAATGACCGGACTGGCCGGCCAGTTCTGACTTTTGGAAAGGGCCCTTAGATTCTTTCCATTCAACAATGCAGTTACATGGATTGCTATTTACTTTAACATTGATAATTACTTACAAACTGGAATGGACTTTTTATAATGTTGAATTGACAATGAATATTTGAAAAATTTTCACCCAAAAGGGCTGTAACTTTAAAGCAATTTAAAAAAAACTAAGTAGTGTCATAAACTCAAATGAGTTTCGTCAATATGTTACGTCATAAAAATAAAAGCATTAAACAAAAAATGAAACTGCCTGAGCCAGTTTCTTGTTAAATCAACCAATTCTTTTCAAAAGCCTTGTCTGAGTCAAGCAGATGTAAGCTAGCATAACCTATCGACGTTTTACAATAAAATCCAACTAGTTGGTCAAAAATATCGAGACACAATAACTTAAGCTACCGAAACGCGATTCAGCCGCCATCGTTTTGGTTTTCAAAGCCGGCGCTTTTCGTTACTAGTGGGCTATAACATATAGCCTAGTAATAGCTCAACCAATCAGAACGCATCACTGATAATAGACCACTAGTTGGATTTTACTAATTAGCGTTATCTGCTGGAAAGGAAGCCATCTTGCGAAGTTAGAGATTTATCGGAAATACTCGGACTTCGTCGTTTGTCAGCCGGCTGAATTTTCGTGCCTGCTCGGCAGGTGAAGTATAGAAACGACGAACAGAGAATAAAGAACACGAAGCCACCCAAAAGCAGGATCCAAATACCCTCCACTGAAATAAACAACAAAAGTACATTTATATATTGACAGATTAGAATCTGTGTGCTAACCTAACTTAATAGGTCTCCTGAAGGGGGAGAAAGTTGAATGGCTTGGCCTGACTTGTACTAGGAGAGAATGATTCAATTTGAACTCATTCAAGAGGACATTAAAAGTTCAACTTGCACGGGAATGTGAGAGCGGGAGTTTGTTTCAGCCATTCATTGCCGCACGTAAAAGCGGAGATGACGTGATACCAAATAAAGGGTCTTCAGGCACCTTGGAACAATTGAACAGGGGCTTTTAGTGTCTATATACCTGAACACTGTTTGTACATCGGCACAAGCGAATCACAATGTGCTTGAAATTCAGCGCTTCCATGACCGGTAAGAAACGTCTGAACTTTCGTGGCATCTAAAGTGAACAGCCCCCCTAGAATTTAATTTCAGGAGTCAATGAGAGATCAGTGGCTGGTGAATGACATTTGAAAGACAACGATGGTTACAAGACCGCGCACCGAGATAACGAACGCTAGGAAAGTTAAGTAACGCTTATATTAAGTATTTACCTGGCCAGCAGAAGCCTCTCTTTGTACTTAAGACTGACCTGCAATGACGTGAAAGGATTTTCACTTTTATTTCATGGAATTTTCGTTCATGGATGGCTAATAAGGTATTGATAATGGCTACAATAATTATTTTAATATGCATTTGAAGATAGCATACATTTGAGGTTGTTTTTCTTTCTGGACTTTATTTCCAACGACAAAGGTTCCACATCATTTGTAAAAAGTGGCAGATTTAAAGCAAAATTTGTTAACCTGACACCATTGATCCAGACAACCACGTGACCCTTTGGACACCAGATGCCTCCATTTTTGACGCAGGAGTTACATGCCATGAAACACGTCTCTTGCGGCATTTCGTCAGCGCGACAGTATTTATGAAGACGACCTAACAAGAAAAAAGTGAAAGTAAAGTTGAAAAACGCTTTGAGTTTTGTCTTTCGTTTCGAGTTACTTCGTCTGTCCCTTACATGGAGATGAGATGGACCTTTATATTTAGCTAGCAGTGCAGGCGTTTTCTTCGGGCGCGCGAATGTTAACGCTAACCCTAACCCCTCCCCCCTCTCCTTCTTTCGCCCTCGCACCTACCCTAAGGGTTACTATTTCTACTCTCCCCAATCTTCCTCTGTCACAAAAGCAAAGATGGCGGCCACAACAATACGAACATAAACAAGATTTCGCCCACCCAAAATGTTAATACGACTGCAGGCTACTTTATATTATGAGCGTTTGGCTAAGAAATGGTACAGTCAAACAGGATCTCTAATCACAGTACTCGAGGTGAACCTCGACACAAAAACAGGCGAAGCACACTCTTTCCTTAATTTGATGAAGCACCCAAAGAGAAATGTGAAACATCCAACGCGCCTCTGACCCTAAAGTGCCCATCGATCAGTACATATAACAGATAGGGAATGGTTTTCACCTTCCAGGGTCCTCGATCAACGCCTTAGTCCCTTGATTAACAAGCTCAAGCGAGGCTACAGTGTTGTGAAATACAATACAAATGTACATATTTCTATCGTCAGTTTTATAGCACTTTATAGGCCGGGGATGGTCGGGTCAGTTGCCGGCGACTTATTACCGCGAGACGTACCTTTCACAGTGTTATTGACACGAATGGGATTTCCTAGAACAAAATAATAAAGTTCGTACAT